GGAGACGTTTGAAACAAAGTGGAAACCGATAAATAAATTCATATTGTAAACTCAACACCTCTAGTTATTTTTTGCTTTGGTACCTTTTGAATTTATTTTGTATTAGTATTGCTGTGTACCTTTATTACTTTAATCTGTATTTTCATGATGTCTAATGCTGTCCCTTTCTATGCTAGTAATGTGATTTATATGTCCATGGAGGTTGTTAACGAATATAAATTTCTCTTAATGGGTCCAATGTCTATTTGGAGGAAATTTATCTCTGTTTAACTGCATTCTCCATCAACAATTCCCAGATAACTTTTGGCATAGCTGGAACTTAACAGCCTGGTCACTTAATGTAGGTGAACTGTCTAAAATGAATTGTGTAAACAAAATTAAGATGTGAGATGTAACAAGAGTGGACATGTGTATGTGTACTGAAAATAAAAGGTAAAGAAATAAATTACCCCCACATATCTGACTCAATAACAATTTAAAACAACTATTTTCATTCATTTAGACAGAACTTTTCACATACTTGGATTATATTAAACTGCACTTCCAATATTTACCTCTGTCAGGAGCCATTTACATTTTTCTTCTGAGCACGGAGCAACCAGCTTGCTTGGACTTGCAATGAATCATGGGATAACGAAGACTACGGAGGACACACCGGACCTGTCTTTCAAAATTGACAAAAACAAGGATGCATTCCTCGGCTGCATAACGAGGAGTCTTGCAATATGAACGGGCCTTGATGTAATCAACTCAGCAACAGTGGTCTAGATCAAGGACAATCCAAATGCCATCAGTAGGAACACTGTAATACGTCTGCTGTAGTCAACAGGTAAGTAATGTCAGGGTCATGTTTGGTCGATCTGTGTCTGGTCGCCAGGGTTCCCATACAGCCCCGGAGCTCACAGCTGGGTATTTAAAGCTGGATTGGTCACCTAGCCTTTACCCACACCTGCTGCCCATCAGCTGATTAGCATATTCTTTGTTCTGTCTTCCATTTAGACTTAGACAGACTTTATTATCATTTTGTACAGACAGAGTGTAGACAAAAAGAGTTTTGGTTCAGTACAGCTCTCGAGACGTTTTAATTTTTTAAACTGCAGCTGCGAAAAAGGTAAGCAACAGTGATAAATGGAAACATACGGCTGTAAATTAGTTACAGTTCCAACATTCAGGGTTTTTTTTTTTATTTGAAATCCAATTTTATACAACATTCAGCAGTCTAATGGCAGTGGGGAAGAAACTGTTCTGGAATCTGCTGGATGCTTCGAAGTCTCTTCCCAGAGCAGCAGTGAGAACAGTCCATGGTGGGGGGGTGAGGGGCCATGATCTCCTTCATCTTCTCCACCTTCAGGATCAGGCTGTTATCTCTGCTCCACCAGCTGCTCCACCTCCTCTCTGTAGTCCAGGTCGTTGTCGTCTCTGATGAGGCCCACCACCGTGGTGTCGTCTGCAAACTTAAAGAAGTGATCTGTGGTGAACCTGGGGATGCAGTCCAGTGTCATCAGGGTGAACAGCAGGGGGCTCAGGACGCAGCCCTGAGGGGAGCCTCTGCTTCGGATGACATCAGAGGTGTTCTGTCCAACCTGGACTGACTGAGGTCTATATATATGTATATATATATATATATATATATAGTCCTCCTCTGTAGTTCCTCATTGCTGGATTATCTTCATCACTTCATCCATCCATTCCTTCGTTCCTTTGGCTTGTTTTCCCCCCAGTGTCTCCTACTTTTTGGTTTGGAGCTTCTTTTTTATCAGTTCTTAATTATGGTTTGTACCTCTTTGTCTCTGTATCTGGGTCCTCAACAACTTCCCACAAATCCTGACACACCCCCAGTGGACCAACCATCTATAGGTGGAACCCTGATGTTTCATATACGTTAAATAATGTTTCTTTTTTCTCCAGTGCTCTCTATTTATCATCATATATATATGTAGGTGTCTAAGGCTACGTTCACTCAGCCTGAAGTGCCCCAAATCCGATTTGGTTGCCCATATGTGACCTGGATCGGATCTTTTCATGACAGTCTAAACAACACAGATCAATTTTTTTCAATTGTGACTCAGGCCACTTGGCTTAGTGGTAATGAATCCAATATGAATCTGATCTTTTCTTCTGAAAGTCATTTATGCTCAACAAAGGTCCCTATTCTGCGTCTTGCTACGCAGAAGCAGGAAGAAAAACAACAACCATGGTGGAAGATGATGAGAAGAACAGTCTTTATTTTCCACCTTCTTGAAAAAAGATTGTGTTCATGCACTGGCTGAGATTAGGAGAGAAATGAAATACAGAGCACCTGCTAGTGACATCATTGCGTCCTCTACTGCGACAATTAAGTTGTATGAATGCAGTTTACACAGGAAATCACATTCAAGTCGCATATATTTGAAATTATAAACGGCAATGCAAAAGTATCTGATTTCACAAAACAGTTGGAACTGAGCATTAAGGCCTGCAGTGTGAACATATCCTTATACGGCACATACTGTGTATTTTTATTTTCAATATTCATTATAATTATATCATTATGTCTAACATTTACAGGAACAGTTGTGCGACTGAATTCATGTAATCAATCATGTTATCTTTAGCACAGGGGCAGATTTAGGAGATTTGGGGCCCTATGCAACGTCAGGCAGGGGGCTCACTGAAATTAGAAGACAACACATAAAACAAACCCATTATACAGATACAGATGGTGTTGATTATTAATAATAGAATAGACATACATCATATGTTCAAATCAAATTAGATGATGACAATTCAACAAAACCAACTGAAAAAAATGAAATTAAAGTAGAGTTTAAGATGTATCATCACATAAGTCCTAATTCTCCTCATAGTCATAGAGGGTCCTATTATGCCTATTTTAATCTGATGCCTTTCCAGCTTTAGACTTTGGCTTTGTTCACACAGCAACCTGTATGACTCAGAGGGATTCTGAATCTCGTACTCCTGGATGATATTACATGTGCTAATTGAGTGATCAGGTCATGTAGAGCAGCGGTCCCCAACCTTTTTTGAACCACGGACCGCTATATGTCAGACAATATTTTCAAAAGGACCGGCCAGGGGGGGGGGGGGGGGAATCAAGTAAAATGATACGACTGGCATAAAATCAAATACAAACAGCATAAAAATAAAACAACAAGCCAGTCCCATCTAGGCGTAATCGGAGACAATGACAGACGAAGTGTGCTCCTGATGTCCAGTCTGCTCCGTAGCTTTGTTTTGGTCGCTGTAACCGCAGAAAATCACGCTTCACAAAGATAGGATGTTATAGATAGGATGAGTCTTAACCTGTGTCAAGAGGCACAGATGCACCGACTGATGTAATTGGGAGAAAATACCGCAATTTTTTATATTTTTCAAAATAAAATACCACTCAGACTCTGATTGTCGATAAATTATAAATTATATATATATATATATATATATATATATATATATATATATATATATATATATATATATATATATATATATATATATATATATATATATATATATATATATATATATATATATGTGTGTGTGTGAAGACACAAGTCGAGCAGAGAAGAGAAGCATTTTCCATGTGTATTCAAATTTTATTAAAAATTGACCGAAGAGGTGTTTTTTTTGTTGTTGTTTTTTGCCTTAAATTTAAAAACTCCTTTGTTTTTCCAACAATATGGAATATAGTTTGCTTTTGGTAGTAGCACATTCTAGTGGTGTACTATTCCCCATACAGTTTAAATTAATCATTGTCTGCCCTTCATGAAATGACCCAGATAGTCTGAAGTTTTATTGTATACTTTTATTCAAAGTCTCCAAATAAAATTGAACAAATGTTTTAGTATACTGCTAGAAAAATTCACGTTTCCTCTCATATGAGTTAATTTCACAGAATTACTTTGCTGCGTAATGGTAAATGGTAAATGGCATGTACTTATATAGCGCCTTTATTCAAGTTAGGAGACTTGACCAAAGCGCTTTACACTACATTCATTCACCCATTCACACACACACTCACACACTGATGGTGGCAAGCTACATTGTAGCCACAGCTGCCCTGGGGCTCACTGACAGAAGCGAGGCTGCCGTACACTGGCGCCACCGGGCCCTCTGACCACCATCAGTAGACAATGCAGGTGAAGTGTCTTGCCCAAGGACACAACGACAATGAAAGTCGGAGTCGGGGCTTGAACCGTCAACCCTCCGATTACAGGGCAAACTCCTACATCCAACGCCACTGTTGCCCGTAATGGAACCTAACAAGGAACAGTTACTAAGTTAAGAAGCAGTTTTTTTTTAAGCTCTGCAATCTGAGCAACGATGAGATCACCAACTTCAAGGAGATTATCAAGTGGACAGAAATAACAGGGAAGACAGTATGAGATGGCGATTTGTGTTATGTAATGTTTTTCAAGTTGCTGACCTGAGCTATTAAAGATATTTGGTTTTTAAACAGTATATAGGCAAATATAAAAGAATAAAGTCCTTGTGTTAGTCGCAGTAGTTTTGCTGGATTTTGTTCTTTAACAACATCATCACACACACTGCTCCTAAGATAAAAACATGCTTGTTCTTATAACATTTTTCTTTAAATACTAGCTCTTATATTGCTGTATTTTGCTGTTCTGATATTTTTCAATTGGATGTGAGGCTTGGAATCTTAATCAAGTTTAAAAAAATAATTTGTTTAGATTTTTGTTAAATGAAGACCAATTTGTGATCGTGCATTGTATCCCCTTTTTGGTCAAATTCATATTTAAAAAAAAAAAAATCATTTAAACTTACAGTTTAAATTAATTTCTGCAGAATATATATATATTTTCAATAATTTCTTATGTTGTTTCTCTTCATTTTTGCACCAGGAGAGAACCGAGTTTGTCTGATAAGTATGTCCACCTTAGAAGCAGCAGTGCTGTGCGGTCTGAGCATTATTCCCTTTAATGCTCTAAGCTCATGCTGCCTGACTTGCACCTGAAAAGATTAACCCTGCTGATCAGGCAAGGGAATCCTGAGCTGCTGAATGTGTTCAGTACCGACACCTTCAGACTCTGAGCCTATAGGTGCTTGTTTTTCTTTAAATGAAGGCAGTTATTAAGGTTCAAATCTGCAACTCACCCCAGGACTGCTCCAGCAAACAGGTACTGGGGACAATGATTTGTGAAAGAAATGTCCTTAAACTTAAAATATTTGACTCTGTCCAGCAGGAGAGTTTCGTGGGTCTAAGATGATAGGGTTTCTAAATAATTGTATATTTTGCCTGTCTAATTTCCGATATTTTGCATGTTTAGGATGTTAGTGTCAGTTTTGTTCTTCAGTGTCTAAGCCAGATACATTCCAGCAGTTATTAAGAAACTATATACTCAGCAAATATATCAGTGTTACCAATTATGGAGTCATCAAATATGTTTCAGTTAGTTACAACAGCAAAGTGATGCATTAATTTAATTGAAAGAAAATGATAAAACAATAATGTTACAATAATATCAGGAATTATTCTTTTTGTTAACTGTTGTTGCTTCTTGTGCATGTATGTATTGGTCAAAATTTAAAATGGTAACTTTAAGAATGTTACTGTATTGAGTAATTAACAAAACTTAGGTCATGATACACCCCAAAACAAAGGATATTTGCCAATGGTTATGAGATCTTTCAATTCCCAAAAACATATTCAATAGCCAGTCAGATTTTGGAGTAGAATGAGAATTTAAGAAAACATCCTTGGTCCATAGAAATTCACTGGATATTAGATTCCAATATATTCATATCAATCTAGTTTATTTCTATAGCACCAATTCACAACGCGTCATCTCAAAGCACTTTACAGTTCAACCAGATCATCCAGTCAGATTGATTCAAAGTTTTTATATCTAACGAAAACCAGCTGATTGCATCGACTCATTGACTCTTCAGCAATCCCTCACACTAAGCATGCTTGTAGTGACAGTGGAGAGGAAAAACTCCCTTTGAACAGGAAGAAACCTCCAGCAGAACCAAGCTCAGTGTGAGCGGCCATCTGCTGAGGCATCTGCTGTTTGGATATCAATGCTAACATTGTCTCCCTGTGTTCCATAGGACCAGCAACATATAGGATACCAGGAAAAAGAATCCTTACCTCTGCATCAAGGACTTTCACATGTATTCAATGATATGGACATTCCAAAGCTTCTGTATGTATCAGAGAGGAAACTCTCTGAGAGTGAGAAAGTGCAAGGCTATGTAACCCATGCCCACATCTCTTCCCTTAAGGTTAGAATTTGGATTCTTCTTTTTGCTTTCTTTGCTTTTCTGGTGTTGATTATTAACTTTTTCCAACAGAATGCATTCAGGTTATTTAATAATCAATCAATAACTTTTTGTCTACCAAGTAAAATGGTAAATGGCATGTACTTATATAGCGCCTTTATTCAAGTCAGCAGACTTGACCAAAGCGCTTTACACTACATTCATTCACCCATTCACTCACACACTGATGGTGGCAAGCTACATTGTAGCCACAGCTGCCCTGGGGCTCACTGACAGAAGCGGGGCTGCCGTACACTGGCGCCACCGGGCCCTCTGACCACCATCAGTAGACTATGCAGGTGAAGTGTCTTGCCCAAGGACACAACGACACTGAAAGTCGGAGTCGGGGCTTGAACCGTCAATCCTTCGATTTCAGGGCAAACTCCTACATCCAACGCCACTGTCGCCCCATATTAAGCTATATCATTAACGGTTTGTCTGTTTCAGGTAGAGAAGCCAAATTGAGCTCCTCTCAATCTGAAAAGCACATTTTGGCATCAACTTCTGATTTGAAGCTTGGAACCAAAAAGTATTAGGATTTCCACTTTGATTACATCTCTTACAAAGCACTGGGTAATCTTTCTTGAGTCCAATCAAAAAGTCAGCAGGTGTCCTTGAATTAGGCCATATCTCAGTATGTGTACTTGTGTTTTCTCATGTGTTAGTGAAATGTCAGCCCCAGTACTGTTCCATCTCACAGAACACAAGACCGAGAACGGTCTTGTGTTCTGTGAGATTTTTTCCGGCCGTTCTGCTGGCGTTGAACTGGGAAGGGCCATTTTGAATGGCTGCTACTGTATATCTGGGGAATTTTGCATAAGAAAACACACCAAGCAAGGATAGATATTTAATAAAGGCTGATAGCATCTAGCAGAAAAACTACCCCCCCACCCCTCCCCCTACAGAGGTTCAATGGCTGCAAACAGCCAAGTTGCACCTGTTTTAGGACACGCAAACCCTCTAAAAATCAGGCCCTTAGTGTATATGACCTTATTTAACCTGATCAAGTGTTTTGGGGTCTTTGTTCTATAGGCACATAACATTACTATGCTCCTTTGAATAAGCTAATGAACAAAAAAAGGTTTCACCAGAAACAAAAACAAAACAAAATGTAGAAAGTAGAAATGTAGATATTTTCTCTAATCTTTTTCTTCTTTGTGCTTATCTTGTCTTACAGGCTAGTCCTGCTGCAGCTATTGTCAACACAGAAACTATGGAGGCTGTTCCTTTGGTGAGTGTCCTTGTTAAATTAATTCATTAATATTTCAATACAAGGTTAAAAACTTTCAATGCTGTTGACAAAACATAAATAAAATAATGTAGACAAATATATATTCTGTAACATACTATAGTGGAGGCGTCTCATAGGTGTTTATCTATCTAAAAACCACTCTATCATCCACCCCTGGTACTTCCTGGGTGGTTCGAGTCCCCTAGCAGAGGCCTGGGAGTTTGATGCTATGTTCACGCCGCATGCAATTTCAGCAGCAAAAAAGCTCCTGCTGCTTAATCTTTGATGCTTGTCCACATTAAGGTCAGACATCCAGTAAAGTGTGTCAAGATGATCTGATGCTTCTGCTGCTCCTGTGTTCAATGGCAGAGAGCGGATTTGCTATATTGGCTCTGATCAGTGGGTAGAAATTAGTTTTAACATGTTTTTAAGTGAGAAAGTCCACAAACATCATTTGTGTAATCGGTTCATTCAGATTATGATCCTGCCTTGTAATTTCTCTGTCTGAGCCGCTCAAACCCTCACATACCGGCGGTGCGCTTTCACTCAGAATCCCCAGCAGCAGCTGCTTTAGGCTGGTCGCCTCTTGGGAAATTTCCCCTACTGTTGGTGGCGGCTGGAAGGAGTATGTAGTGCCAACTGGAGGCACCAGAATAATAAAAGCAGACATATTCTGCCCGCTGGTTTTGGCATTTTAAGTTAATTTAGGTATTCATAAACTGTTTGAAGGAGTTATTATAGCACCTTGCATCAGCAGCGCTGTGTCTGTCTCCCTGCCAGCTTCTAAGATGTGCTGCTGCTGCCGCAGGACCTTTTGATGCTCCTTGATTCATTTCAACCATGGAATTTAAAAGTAAACCGGCTGCTTCTGCTGCTCAAACCACTTTTGGTGGGAACATAGCATGAGAGTTCTCAGCAGTTACTTAGTTCCATGGGGCACTTTAGTTGCCTTCACGTTTTAGGCTCTTTCTAGTTTTTCCCTCAATGTTTCTCCAGTCTCTCAAGTTCTTTTTTTCTGATGTTTGCATCATTTGGAAAGGCATATCGATCACTGTTTGTTGGCTGTCCTCTTGCACCCTGCTGTGAGATGCTGGATTATTTCTGGGGCCTCTTTGGATTGCTTGAACCTTGGATCCTGCCTTATATGATAGATCTTGGCCTGTATTGCTCTGGTGCATAAGGCCTGCTCCTGTAGTGCCATGATCAGTGCTTCTGTGCTGTCCTTTGGCCCAGCTGTCTCCAGCCATTGGTAGGATTTGGTGATATCAGCCCTTTCAGCTATCTGTCTATTGAATATCCCATACAGGTTTTTTTTTCCTCCTCTATCTTCCTTTGCCTTCAGAGAGCACTTTATTCCTTAGGGCCATCTTACAGATGTATTATTGGAGCTTGGATGTTTCACCGTTCTCTGGTGGCTCTGATGCCCACTAGGCCTCATCCTCCTGTACAGAATGTGGTTGATAATGACCCCATTTTTGAGTTATCGTTAGCCACGCTTGTTTATGCAGAAAGGAAAAGGGCACAGAGCTGTTTGAGCTGAAAGTGCTCCTTGGGATGTTTAAAGCTTGAGAAACCTTTTTGGATCCAAATCTGGTTTAAAATTTCTCCACAACAGCATCTGTGACCTGCCTGGTGTGTTCCGTGGTCTTCCTGATGTTCTCTGTACTATAAACAGACCTCTGAGACGATCACAGAGCAGCTGCATTTATACAGAGACTTTATTCCCATCAGGTGGATTCTATTGATCATCATCAGTCATTTAGGTAAACATTGGATCATTCAGAGATCCTCACTGAACTTCTGGAGAGTTTGCTGCACTGAAAGTAAAGGAGATTTATTTTACACTCCCCGATCTTCATCCATCCATCCATTTTCTGACACGCTTAATCCCAAGTGGGGTCGCGAGGGGGGCTGGTGCCTATCTCCAGCTGTCTACGGGTTAGTGGCCGGGACCCTGGACAGGTCACCAGTCCATCGCAGGGCAACACAGAGACACACAGGACAATCAACCAGTCATGCAAACACTCACACCACCATATCTATCTATCTATCTATCTATCTATCTATCTATCTATCTATCTATCTATCTATCTATCTATCTATCTATCTATCTATCTATCTATCTGTCTATCTATCTGTCTATCTGTCTGTCTGTCTGTCTGTCTGTCTGTCTGTCTGTCTGTCTGTCTGTCTGTCTGTCTGTCTGTAAGCTGAATGTTATCAACTGTCTGTTGTGTGAGTGGACGCTGGCGCATTTTGCAGCCGCTGCTCTCCGCTACCTGTTTTTAAGTATTTTTCAAAGTTTTTACGGAACTTTGGGCTGTGTATTCACACTTAAGTGAGAGCAAAGACACTTGCCTTCGCGTCTATCGTCCTAACTCCGGCTGCCATCCTGTTGTTTTTGTGTCTGAGTGTGGTTAACTAACCTCACTCTCCAACTGTTCTCCTGACTCGACGCCGCTGCTGGTTAGCCACCTGCTGCCGTTAACAATGTCAACCTCCAAGTTCTACATCTAATGTATCCTCCTCTGGACTGTCCTCTCCACTCTACATCGACCTGGAGCTGGTCTGTCCCAGTATTCGGCTGCTGATCTCCTCCTGCTCCGTGGACTTCTGTCTGTGCCTCCACCACCAGTTCTCCAGCTACACCCGGAGATCATGCTCCTTCCCCGCCGGAGATACATCCACCGCGGATCCCGTTGGAATTTCCACATCGATGACTCTGATCCAATACCATCATTCAACTTCACGCCGCTCTCGCCGATATCCCAGTCGGACCGCTGACTTCAGTTTGCTTGCTAGCCTGGCTAAGGCAGCAAGCCCCGCCTCCGGTCATATCAACTCTACTGTCAACTTTGGACTCCTGAATATCCGCTCTCTCACAAACAAGGGTCAGCTCATCCAGGATCTCCTCAATGACTGTAAGCTGGACTTCCTCTGCCTTACGGAGACCTGGCAACAACCTAAAGACTTCTCCCAGCTCAACGCCTCCACTCCACCTGGCTAGTCAATGGCCCCCCCAAACCACATAGTGACTTTTTAAATGAATTATCCATACTACTTACCCACCTGACTACTCTCTCTCCTAATGTCATTCTCCTAGGTGATTTCAATATTCATATGGACAATGTAAACCTTTCACTCACCAGAGACTTTACCTCCTGCCTGGGCAGTTCTGGATTTCATCAGTATGTTGATTTTCCCACCCACATAAAAGGACATTCGCTGGACTTGATTTGCTGCTCTGGTTTAATCCCATCTAACTGTTCTGATGATGATGTCCATATTTCAGATCACTTTCTTTTATCCTTCAATATCTCCCTGTCTCTCTCCATAATCAAGCCTGTACGCCAGATTTCCTTCCGCAATATTAAGAACATAAACACAGACATTTTATCCTCCCACACTGACAATATCCCAATCCCTGCTCTTCCCTCTCCGGACCACCTTGTCACCCACAACAACTCTGGACTTTCCAATGTTCTCAATTCCCTTGCCCCTCTCAAAACCCAGTCTGTGTCCTTTTCCCACTCTGCCCCTTGGTTTACTCCTGAGCTCCGCTTCATGAAAGCCAAAGGTCGGCAACTGGAACGCCTCCACAAAAAAACTGGTCTCTCCATACACAAAGAAATGCATAAAACTCATCTACTTTAATATTCAAACTTAATAGCCATTACTAAATCAAACTACTATTCTGACCTTATCTGCTCCAATGATGGAAATTCCAAGTCTCTCTTTTCTATAATGCACAAGATATTTGATCCCTCTGATACACTGCCTTCTTACATGTATTCTTTTCAGACCTGTAATTCTTTGTTAACCTTCTTTAATCGAAAAATCAGCTCCATTCACCAGCAATTACATATGACCACCTTGCCTCCCACTTCCCCTCCGCCCCTCCCCCGTAGCCAGTCATTCTCCTCTTTCCTGCTGCCCACTTCTACTGAAATTTCTGACCTCATTCGAAAATCCAAGTTCTCTACCTGTTCTCTTGACCCCCTCCCCACAGCTCTGGTCAAAACCTGTCTTACCTCCCTCTTCCCCTTCATTACTTCCATTATCCATTCCTCACTCTCTTCTGGTATTGTTCCTTCACTTTTCAAAACTGCATCTGTCTCCCCGATTCTGACAAAACCTGGTTCTGATCCCGCTAACTTTAATAATCTTCGTCCCATTTATCTCTAAAATACTTGAAAAATAGTGTCTGCTCAACTCCACACCTCTCTTTCCCTCAACAGTCTTTACGAGCCTTTCCAGTCTGGTTTTCGCCCCTCTCATAGTACTGAAACTGCCCTAATAAAAATCACAAACGATCTCCCTATAGCTGCTGATTCTGGACTCCTCTCCATCCTCATCCTTCTTGGTCTTAGTGCGGCCTTTGATACCATTTCTCACCCCATTCTCCTCAATAGATTATCCTCTCTTGGCATCTCTCACACCCCTCTTGACTGGTTCCGCTCATATCTCTTCTACCGCACTCAGTTTATTCAGCTCAAATCTTTCACATCACACACTTCCCCTGTCACTACTGGTGTCCCTCAAGGCTCAGTTCTTGGCTCCCTCCTCTTCATTACCTACGTCCTTCCCCTTGGCAGTATTTTTCTGAAATTCAACATTCATTTTCACTGTTATGCGGATGACACCCAGCTTTATTTATCCAGTATACCCACTTCCTCACTGCCCCCCTTCTCCCTTACTAACTGCCTACTTGAAATTAAAGACTGGTTCACCTCAAACCTCCTTAAACTAAACAATGATAAAACAGAACTCCTCCTCGTTGCCACTAAATCCACCATATCCAAAATCAAAACCTTCTCACTACCCACTGACAACTCCTTAGTCTCCCCCTCCCCTCAGGTCAAGAGTCTGGGTGTCATCCTCGACTCCTCCGTCTCCTTTCAGTCTCACATAAACAAAATTACCAAGTCTGCATACTTCCACCTTAGCAACATTAACCATCTCTGTTCCTCCCTCACCACTCATACTGCCTCTGTCCTTATCCACAGCCTCATCACCTCCCGTCTTGATTATTGTAATTTTCTTCTTTTCAGCCTCCCTCCTCACTTCTTCAGAACTCAGCTGCTCGTGTCATCACCAGAACCCCCTCCTTCCATCATATTTCCCCTGTTCTTCACATACTCCATTGGCTCCCAGTTCAATTCAGAATTCAATTTAAAATCCTTTTCTATACTTTCAAAGCCATCCATAACCTTGCTCCTCCATATCTGTCAGACCTCCTTCACATTGCCAGCTCCTACCGCTCCCTTAGATCCTCCTCCTCCATCCACCTCACTGTATCCCAGCTTGTCACCATGGGGAGCAGAGCGGCTGAAGGCTCTGCTCCCAAGCTCTAGAACTCACTTCCCCCCGACCTCCGCAGGATTGACTCTCTCCCCTTATTCAAAGCCACACTCAAAAACCATCTGTTCCAGCTCGCTTATCTGTGAATACACTGCTCTTTTCCCTATCCATATTTGTTTTTATGTTCCTGTATCTGTATTTTGTATTTTCATTTTTCTTTTTATTTATCGTTTGTATTTTTTGTAAAGTGACCTTGAGTGTCAAGAAAGGTGCTGTTAAATAAAATGTATTATATATATATATATAAATATATATATATATATATATATATATATATATATATATATATATATATATATATATATATATATATATATATATATATATATATATACACTCACCGGCCACTTTATTAGGTACCCCATGCTAGTAACGGGTTGGACCCCCTTTTGCCTTCAGAACTGCCTCAATTCTTGGTGGCATAGATTCAACAAGGTGCTGGAAGCATTCCTCAGGGAGTTTGGTCCATATTGATATGATGGCATCACACAGTTGCCGCAGATTTGTCGGCTGCACATCCATGATGCGAATCTCCCGTTCCACCACATCCCAAAGATGCTCTATTGGATTGAGATCTGGTGACTGTGGAGGCTATTTGAGTACAGTGAACTCATTGTCATGTTCAAGAAACCAGTCTGAGATGATTCCAGCTTTATGACATGGTGCATTATCCTGCTGAAAGTAGCCATCAGAAGTTGGGTACATTGTGGTCATAAAGGGATGGACATGGTCAGCAACAATACTCAGGTAGGCTGTGGCGTTGCAACGATGCTCAATTGGTACCAAGGGGCCCAAAGAGTGCCAAGAAAATATTCCCCACACCATGACACCACCACCACCAGCCTGAACCTTTGATACAAGGCAGGATGGATCCATGCTTTCATGTTGTAGACGCCAAATTCTGACCCTACCATCCGAATGTCGCTGCAGAAATCGAGACTCATCAGACCAGGCAACGTTTTTCCAATCTTCTATTGTCCAATTTTGATGAGCTTGTGCAAATTGTAGCCTCAGTTTCCTGTTCTTAGCTGAAAGGAGTGGCACCCGGTGTGGTCTTCTGCTGCTGTAGCCCATCTGCCTCAAAGTTCGACGTACTGTGCATTCAGAGATGCTCTTCTGCCCACCTTGGTTGTAACGGGTGGTTATTTGAGTCACTGTTGCCCTTCTATCAGCTCGAACCAGTCTGGCCATTCTCCTCTGACCTCTGGCATCAACAAGGCATTTCCGCCCAAAGAACTGCCGCTAACTGGATGTTTTTTCTTTTTCGGACCATTCTCTGTAAACCCTAGAGATGGTTGTGCGTGAAAATCCCAGTAGATCAGCAGTTTCTGAAATACTCAGACCAGCCCTTCTGGCACCAACAATCATGCCACGTTCAAAGTCACTCAAATCACCTTTCTTCCCCATACTGATGCTCGGTTTGAACTGCAGGAGATTGTCTTGACCATGTCTACATGCCTAAATCCATGTGATTGGCTGCTTAGAAATTAAGTGTTAACGAGCAGTTGGACAGGTGTACCTAATAAAGTGGCCGGTGAGTGTATATTGATGTATGTGTGTGAGTATGTAAATGTCTGTGTGATGTCATTGACACATTATTGATTTATTGAGATAATTTGTGAAGCTGAACGCATCTTCAGAAACATTTTCTAAAAGCCAGCATAGCTGGAGAATCCTGACTTAATCCTTTATCCTGCTTTGGTGAACTAGGCCTCAATTAGATGACTGTTGTTGCCAACATCCTGATTTAAGTAAAAACACAGAGGAATGTCACATCACAAAAATAGCTCGACTCTAGTGTGTAGCGAAGCTAATTTTCATTGAATTAGTTGTTTTTTTCTTTTGTTCATTACTGATGAGAAAGTTGAATCTTTGATAGATGTTTCTTTCATTGTTTTTTCATTACTCAGGTCAGTGGAACGAATACCAAATATGAGTTTGAAGAAATCATTTTAGACCGGGTGAGTATATCAGTCCACACCATTTTGCTACATCTCAAAATTCTTGAAAAGATAGAAAACATTAAGATTAGTTGACTTTCTCTTTAACTTGTAATCGTGAAATAAGCAAGAAAATGCTTAAATTTAACAATCTCTATTTTATTGTCCTTTAATTATCTATTAACAGTTAATTTCCCACTAGAGCTAAACAAATCTGAGATTAAGAATATCTCCCACATCTGTTCCAAAGGAGCTGTCAATCAACAATAATGCAGTAAATTGAAAAAACTCAAGCTCTATCTTCTACTCAGGAAAAAACTGGAAAAACTGACAATCTTCTACATAACAATCTGTTATCAGTGCACCAGTCATTAAAATTCCTGCTCTGCAGATGTGTATATATGCAGCAATGGCAAAGACATAAAGTTTGTAAAAATCATGGCTCTCTAACTTCTTGTTCTCCTACTTGACAGCTAAACTGAACAATACAGCTTCTGCTTTATTTCCCAGCTTGCTAATTATAGCGCTTGAACCCTTTTTTTTTATAAATGATTTCCTGCAGAACCTCCTGTATCTGCTTTTGTCACAATTCAAAAAGCTGTTAAAGCATTAGAGAGTTTCATTGCACACATCTATTTCATAATTCATCCATAGATTTAGAATAATCTGACTGCTGTTGGTAGAGAATAAATTCATTCAGTTTAAATGATTCCATCATGCCCCTATTATAAAAGTTAGGCGGTCAAAAATATTTGGTAATTTTGACCCTATCTGTGGCTGCTGGCTCCTGTAACTGATGTTTACATGAATGGGTTTTATCCTATTTTAAGCTTTTATGAAGTGTTATTAGTGCTGCAGGACAACAAATTATACCCTCAGCTAGCATTGCTAAATTTTTGGACATCACCTCCCTAAGCATTGCTCTGGCTGATGCCGGGTTTTCCAGCCTTTGTTTTGGTGTAAAGTCTAAATCTGTCAGTGTGGGTAAAATATTACATTGGGTCACATTGGATAATAGAAGTGCTCTATTTTGTTAAATTGTAACTAATAGGGCTACATTCACACTGCAGGCCTTAATGCTTAATTTCGATTTTTTGTGAAATACGATTCTTTTGTTAGGTCATTCACATTACCATATATTCGACTTGTATGTGATCTCCTGTGTGAGCTGCATTCACACAACTTAATTTTCCCACATGCGCAGTAGTGTCATGAAACGTGAACAGATGGACCCAGTATTCAAGGAGAGACAGTCAGTAGGAAAGTTCAAAAAGTTTATAAAATAAAACAAAAACTAAAGTGGAGCTGTGGCTCTTGGACACTGCAGGATGGGGAGCGAAGCACCGCCCAATCACAGACTCTCTGCAGGGGGAAACACAGGTAAGTGACCACGATCATCTGACAGAAGATGATTATCTGAATTGGCCACTTACCTGGTTTAACAGTCCAGTCCTAGAATGTCCCCCAAGCGCTGCAGTCCCAGAGGACATGCTGGAAGCCGATCCTGGTCAGGGATCCAGAACAGACAGGAACAGACAGGAACAGGATCCAGATCAGGCAGGAACAGAAACAGGTGGCAGGATCCAGACTTCCAGGCATCCACAAGCTCCCGGGAGGGTTCAGAGTCTGACTGGGACCAGAAGCATGACCAGGTGGTCACGCACAGGAGCAGACAGGATCAGTTGCAGCTGAGCAGGCTCAGTGAAAGAGGGTAGCCGAGACAGGACTTGGAACCAGAACTTGATGCAGGACTTTAAACAGGTCTCTTCCCTGGAGCCAGGCTTACTTGTATAAAAACTGAACCTCCCCACATATAGAGCCAAAAACCCAGAGGACTCCGCGGGGGAGGAACAGTGGATGATCAGGAGATGAGACAAACACAAAAACCCTCTTTCCACTGGCTGCTAGGATCCAGGACATGAACCATGAAATCAAAAAACTAAACGGACAGACTAATAGAAAGACAAGTAATGATCTGGCACTGAATGCTCAGGCTGAACTGAATATAACCAAAAGAAAATAGGTGAGAGGAATACATTATAATTGAAGCAGGGAGGAAAATGGCAGGTGAAAGAGATTATCAATTAAGGAGGAGCAAACAGGCCAGATCATGACAAGTAGAGGACGCAATGACGTCACAAGCTGACCTACTCTGAGTTTAGGGAAGTCAACATGGATGGTTGTTCTGGAGCGCATCTAGCAATCTTCATTTCTTTCCCAACCTCAGCCAGTGCATTAACAACTGAATCTTTTCAAGGTTGAAAATAAAGACTTTTCTATGCATTATCGGCTGGCATGGCTGTTGTTTTCTTCCTGCTTCTGTGTAGAAAGATGCAGAATAATGATCTTTGTTTAGTATTAATCAAGTTCAGGTCGGATGAATGCTACCTGGCCGTTAAGACACAGGTCACATTTGAAAAGATCAGATTCGTATCGGATTCAGGACCTAAGAGCGAAGGGGCCTGGGTCACATTGGAAAATATTATAGGACCCTCTATGACTATAAAGGGAATTTGGACTTATGTGATGTTTGTGATTAATGCATCTTCTACTCTACTTGAAGTTCATTTTCTTTAGTTGGTTTAGTTAAATTGTCATCTTCTAATTGGAATTGTCTCTTGGACAATGCCATTATCATTCTGATATTATTATGTTGTGCTTATTTTCTTTACTAATTTTGACAAATATTTTAAATTAACTCACTCATCCACTTTCCATTGATTTACATTGCTTCATGATAACCATAAACCTAAATATTACCAGTACATAAACCTGTTTTTTTTTTTGCCACAGGGTGACTCAGCGCTCGGTTTTACTATAGCTGGAGGAGCTGATAACCCCCAAATCAATAATGATCCTGGGATCTTCATAACTAAAATCACCCCTCAAGGAGCTGCAGCAGAGGATGGACGTTTGAGGTAAGACTCTTGCTGAATATGGGTTTTTTATGAAGGTTATTTTGTTTTAAAACTGTTTGTGCATTGTAAGTGTGAATTTGAAGTTGTAGAGAGAGTTATATTCTAAGTTTTTTATTTGTAGAATAAAAAAAAATCAAAAGTACACTTTTTGTTTTTTACACCTGTTCAAATTTTAAGTAGAAGTACACAAATTCTGTTCTACAAGTTGCACATCAAAAGTCTCTTACATTCTCAGTTTTGCTCCAAGTTGTCCAGAACTATTGTTGAAAACTATTTCTGCAATGTAACTTAGGTGTTTTGTAATTGTAGATTTTTTAATCTTTCACAATTACAAAATTAGTTATACCTCTTCAAATTCTTGAGCACAAGCACACAAATTATTTTCTGTGAGTTGCACATCAAACATGTCTTCCATTCAGTTATGCTACAGTTGATCTAAAACAAATTGTGCGAAAAAAATTCAAACACGTGTATCACAATCTTCAAAAAATATATATTTATTTCCTTAACACAAATACAAATCAATGAATACCACTGCACGAATCTGCTGCTATAAGTCACAAATTCAACTTTGCAAGTTACACCTTCATTTTCACTTTTGACACAAATGTCACGCCGGTAAAAATGATCTGTAACTTGTGGGTTTGCTGCTCGGTCAGTTGGATATACATATAAGGCCTACTGCCATGTTTCTTTCCAAGGACCCAGCCTGCATATGACTTCGAAGGACGCCAAATTTATTTCAAAATGTATCAAGGGTAAATTTCTTCCTATATCAAAAATTGTTTTTGTTTCATTTGCAAATTAATAACTTTTCCTGTTATGCTAACTTCTCATAAGTATTTTTTCAATGAAACATTTATAATCTACCTAATAAAAAATAACACTACTTCTGTTTCATTTAATCATGCTATGATAAAGCTAATCTATTTTAGTTTGCAGATAGTATTCTCAGCTTATATCTTGTATTGGCTAGGTTGATCATTTTTTCCTCTGAAATCTTATTCAAGTTTTATCTCGAAGGGTGAGGATAATTTAACAAAAATATACACTACTCTCTGTGTAAGTCCATATTACTGAGTGATTAAGAATTAGCTCTTCAAAATGGGTAATTTGAATTTGGTAATTTCAAATAAAGTGAAATTGTCAAATCAAACCTGTCATGATGTTACAAAGTTCAGACCCAAATGCAGAAAACCCTATAGAGAGACCAGGGAAAAGGTTTAACGGATTTTATTGAAGAAGTTAAACAGAGGGAAAAGTGTTGCTCTTAACACTGCTCAACCGGAACTGTAAAGTGAGGGGAAGACACAGCGGTTAGTTCAGGCTCAGTGGGGAATTTGATTCGTGAACTTGGAGAGGAGGATTTGATTGCCGACTAACGTTTCCAGAGAAGTTGTTGAATCCTTGACTCCTGTCTGTGTGCCGTGGTTCCAGTGTTTGTCTGATTTGGTGGAAGGCAGAACAGGGTTTACCCAGAATGCAGCTGTTAGTTGGTGAACGTAGAAACTGACTGCCACTCAAATTTCCTGCGGTACTTGAACGGGTCGTAGTGGAGAATAATCCCTTTCTCAGTGAGAAGCTCAAATGATCTCTTGGGGAAAGTGGATCCAAACCTCCTGTTTGAACCCCAGCTCAGTTTGAAGTTCAGTTGATCCTTCCAGGGAGAGAAGGTCAGAGAAAACCAGTTTGCAGGATGACTTCCCTAAACTGGCAAACACTCTGGCGTCGAGGTAGTGGCAGTAAGCAGCTTAAGAAAACTCTGTTGAACGAGGAAACCATCAGCAAGTGTGTGAGGAGGCCGACCAGAACCAGGCGCCTCCTGGTGGAGGAAGGGAGACAAACACAGAAACACAAACACAATAGGCACACTTAAGATGTGTGAAGGCAGGTAACTCAGGACATCACATAAAAATCACATAATTTGGGAAATTTTAACGACTACACAAAAGAATTGGATTTCAGAAAAGAAAATCAGTAGGGGTGTAAATAATAATCGTTTTGTATCGATGCATCGATCCAAAAGCCGACGATCCGATGCATCGACACGTCCGCAAGATAATCGATTCATGTTTTTTTTCCCTCCGGTCTATTTTTATCCATTTGCTCCTGGGCGTAATTCTCCCTCCCGTGCGGCGGTGGCGCTAAACCTATTTTGCCCTTCTACCGCGCTTCCTGGTTATACTCTTACAGCATTGTGTTGCAGCAAGCTTTCACACAGACATTTTTAAATTATGCTCAGTATTGAAGCGTGGTCTGAGCTACACGCTGTGGGTCTAGATACGGCCGAGGCGGCGAGGAAGTGGGGACGAGTTTAGTCCGACGACGGAGGGACATGAGGGCCAAAGAGAGCGGAGATCCAGGTGGAAAAAGGGTCCCAGTGGTCTCGCGCACCTCGCTCTTCTAGCGGGTCAAACTTCACGAGTTGTTTTCTGCAATTTCGGTCATAAAAACAAAACAAGCCGGCCTCCTGTCTGCTGCACTGTTTGCGGTCAGCTACAATCTGGGAGAGGTGCAGCGGAGCGTCTCTCAAGGGGCGGTGACATTGTCACTTCTTCTTCTTTTTTTTAATGGCAGTTGGCAAACAACTTATAGATGCATTACCGCCACCTTCCAGAATGGAGTATGGACCAGACAAACTATTATATTCTCCCTAAAATACCCGTTCTTCTTAGAAAATTAAAAATACTACCAAAAACTACATCCCCAGATGACCTTTGAAACAATTCCCTTATATCTAGTTTATTTTTATTCCTGTCTAACTCTCTACGCAACATCTCTCTTTCCTGAGTATATTTATTACATTCTAAAAAAATATGTTGGACAGTTTCTCTGGAGCCGAGGTATTGCATTGAACTCATTACACTGATATTGTGCAGTATTTTTGCAGTATTTTTTGATGCAACTTTTCTACTTCTGTTATTTGCTGTTGTTTCTAAAGAAAATGCATAATGATATTACAGCTTTCATTGATTTATTTCAAACTTGAAACTGTTTAGCCTGTAAGGTGTAAAAAAAAAAAAATTAACCAATTAATCGATTAATCGAATCGAATCGTGGTGTATTCTTGAGTATCGAAAATAATCGAATCGTTGGGTCAGGAAATCGATACTGAATCGAATCGCTATGATGGATGTGATTTACACCCCTAAAAATCAGAATTGAGCATTAAGGCCTGCAATCTGAAGGTATCCTTAGTCACATTTCTAGAGAGATGGTAATCAATGACCCACCCATTGTTCTCCTGAGTCTTTGCCGTCTGTTGTTTGATATTAGGTGTCTATCTGTCCATCTGAATCTTAATAAGGCTGCTTATGTATACCTTTTGAATAAGTTTCAAGGCAAGGTTTTTTATGCTTGGGATCTAAAACCATCATTAGCAAAATACCTTGTGAGGACCAGCACAATTTCCTCACTTTACAAAAACCTGTCCCCATTGCAATGATGAAATGGGGAAATAACGGTCTTCACTCTGATTCCTTGACAGATATAAACAAAACACATTCCTGTGAAGAGTAAAAAATGTAAATGGCCTTTCCTGTTTCAGGGTAAAGGATTGTATTCTGCGGGTGAATGATGTAGATGTATCCAGGGCCTCCCACTTCAAGGCTGTTGAGGCCCTAAAAGATGCCGGTTCCACTGTACGTCTTTATCTGCGCCGTTGCTGTTCAGTCCCAGAGACCATCCAAGAAATCCAGCTGGTCAAGGGTCCAACAGGTGAGTTGCCACAGCAAATTTGAAAGCATTGATTCAACTCCTAAGGAGTTAAACTCAACACTTTGAAAGTGTCTATAGCCTATTGGCCAAAACTAGCACTGCCAGGGTCATAGAGTCTATCAAGGGTTGATTCTTAGTTTAATAAGAATAAACAAGTATGGAGTTAGCAATGTACTTTCAACACACAACACCAACATTGGAAATCTAACACTGTCCATTTTTCTATTCATTTTCAATAAATACGTTCCACCATGTTTAAGAAGTTCCTTTAAAGAAGTTCCTGCATACCAGTGAAGTCATAAATGTGATACTGACCTGAAAGCCTTCTCAGGCAATTGCTAGGAGCTACACCATACTAACAGTTTTGTGCAAGCTACTTGTCCATTGTAGTGAGCTAAGCTATCAGTTACTCAACAATAAATTAAGCTTCACTACACCAAAGCTACCACCTAAAGAATTATAGCAAGCTAAGTTACACTAATGTGTTAAAAGTAGCTTAACTACATTAGAAGCTACTTAACGTTGTACCAACCTAATATCAATTCAAAATGAGTCTGACACACTAGTTAAAACATTTATTAAAGATCAGCCAATGACATAACACAGTGTAAACATTGCTTTATGATCAGCACATTAAAATAAAAACTGAAGTAATTACTAGTAGACAAACTAGTAAACAATCTGATGTTATTAGAACCAAATTAAAGGTACTGTGTAGTGTTCTACACATGGAGACATGGCTATGAGTTTGCATTCAATGGACATCTCTAGGGAAAACAAAACCCTACAAAAGACATCTTATTTCTTTAGGGTCTCCCTTAGAGAAAACTTCTTCAGACCTCAATTAAACAGTCGATACAAGTAACAAATGAAACTGTTTACAAAAAAGGTGAAAAAATAAAGAAGCTAATTAAGTGATACATATATTGATGTCTCACCATATAATTTTATTTCTACCTACATATTTATTCATTGTGTTTTTGGGGGCAATTAATTGAATGCTTATTTATTTATTTATTGAGCATTTATTTATTTATGTATTTATTTTATATACGGTAAAGCTGTTCCTCCATAAATAAAAAAATCTTGTCTGTGCAAAGCCTAAAAACAGATTTATGTAAACATCCTGTCAGGTAAACTAGGCCATGAAAATACAATATTGAAGTTTCACTACTGCTCTCTAATTAGAGTATCTTAGTTGCACATATGGGAGAATTATCCTGCCATAATGCAAGAGCACATCATTTCAATTTGAGAAAAGAATTTCATCTTCTTGCACTCAAAACTTATAATACTCACACTCAAAACATGCGCTCTCTCTCAAATATTTTCTCTTCTATCTCAAATCTTTATTTCTTCTCTCAGATTTAATGCTTCTTGCACAGATATTTTCTCCTCTCGCTTGCCTCCTTCTCTTCGCGCACAATCCGCGCTCTGCACGAGTTTCAGATACGCTCGCAAACCCGTACTCTGCTTGCGGATTTTTTTTTTGCTCTCTCGGACTGCAGTTGGATCGTCGCCTAGCAACCATTCCAGCCAATAGAACGACAGACTCGGAAAGGGTGCGCTTGTTTAACCCTACTGAGTGTGCCTGTGCTACTACGCCACTTATAAGAGCATCAGCTGAAACTGCTATTTACAGTAGCTTGTGGCTGATTGTTGTTTCAAAATAGAAAACCTGGTTTCATTTCTTAGTTATGCCCTGGATTTTGTAGCGTTTGTGGATGCTACGTCGCTACTTGATCAAAACAATAACGTCGCTACAGGAAAGTTACTTCATAAATAAAGCAGCGACGCTACGGTCAAGCTACTGGAAAATGTAGTTAAACTAATAGCTTCGCTACATGTAGCGGCGCTACTGCCCATCACTGCATACTAATAATAGTCACACTGACCCACAGCTTATCAACTGACTCTGTCTTCTTCACTGGCAGGTTTGTGCTGGGAGAAGAAGGTGCACATCTACACTTTAGACAAACTTTGCATCATCATGTGGCAAATTCACATGAGGATGCAATGAGAAAATATGGCATTTGTCATTCTTTGTCAGCAGAGGTGTCAAGTAACAAAGTACAAATACTTAAGTACACTTTTTAGGTATCTATACGTTAGTCCAGAGGTCTTCAACAGGGGGTCCGCGACCCCTAGGGGGTCCGCGGAGGTACTGCATGGGGGTCGCGAAAGTCTTGGTTGATAACTTTTTTTATATTCCCTCCTGCAATTTTTTGCACTAATTAAAATGTCTTTAAATACACATTAACATGAATTCAACACACTGTAGTAAACAGATAAATGGAGGCAGAAGATGTCTTTCAGTCATCAATGCACACATAGCGACACACAGGGGCTCTTTCAAACCTGGGCACCGTTTCATTCACAACACCTGTCCCATCAACCAGGAATCAGATTCAGAAATACTTTAATAATCCCAGGGAGAAATTACTTTCATTACATGACTCCATATGTAATAGAGTGACTATAGGACCAGTTTGATATAACACAATTTCATACAATATATATAATTAGGGGGTCCCCGCTCCATCTCGCAATCAGTTTGGGGGTCCTTGGCTTTAAAAACGTTGAAGACCCCTGCTTTAGTCCATTACTTATTTTCTTCCTGCTTCCTACTTCTACTCATTACATTTTCAGACAAGTGTCTGTACTTTCCATTCCTTAAATTTTTTAAAACAAACATTACTCGTTACTCTTGGCTTTGGGTTAATGCAGAGGTCACGGATTAGCGAACCGCGGTCCGGTGTTATGACGAAAAGTGCATAACACCGGACCGCGGGATGCAATTTTTGGCAATTTCTATTTTCTATTTATTTAAATATTCAGTAAATGTTAAATTATAAATGACATGTGCTTATATAGCGCCTTTATTCAAGTCAGGAGAATTGACCAAAGCGCTTTACACTACATTCATTTACCCATTCACTCACACACTGATGGTGGCAAGCTACATTGTAGCCACAGCTGCCCTGGGTCTCACTGACAGAAGCGGGGCTGCTGTACACTGGCGCCACCGGGCCCTCTGACCACCATCAGTAGACAATGCAGATGAACTGTCTTGCCCAAGGACACAACGACACTGAAAGTCGGAGCCGGGGCTTGAACCATAAATCCTTCGATTTCAGGGCAAACTCCTACATCCAACGCCACTGTCGCCCCCAAATTCAGTGTATAACATGGATGCATAAACAACTCATTTTTTTCAGTGTTAAAATCTTTTTAAAGTAACAGATCATTAAAAATGTGTCCAGACCTTTACTGGTTGATGATTTTCTTTATTCAGACCCCGCTGATTTTTAATTGGTTACCTCTGGTTTAATGTTTATAAATATTTATTTCACTGGTGAGCCCCGATGCCAGCGCCTACGCCAGCCAGCGAAGGGGGAACAGGATGGGGGGAATGGGCTCCGCACTTAGCAGAGACTTGAGATGTGCTTGGGAGATGTGCTTGGAGTGACCCAAGTCAATGAGTGCTACGTTCACACTGCGGGCCTAGATATTTTTGTGAAATCTGATTATTTTGCCGGGTTGTTCACATTTCCAAGTATGTGCCACTTATATGTGATCTCATGTGTGAACTGCATTTATTCAACTTAAGTGCTCCGCATGCGCAGTAGAGGGCGCAATGATGTCACAAGTGTGTGTGGTCTGTGTTTACTAAAATAAACATGGATGGTAGTGCTGGAGTGCTTCTAGATAGATGGAGTGCTTCTTTCACCTCTTTTCCAACCTCAGACAGTGCATCAACAACACAATCTTTTCAAGAATGTTGAAAATACAGATTTGCATTATCGTTCTGCATGGTTGTTGTTTTTCTTCCTGCTTCTGCATAGCAACATGGAGAATAGTGACCTTTGTTGAGTATTAATGGGATACAGGTGCAATAAATGCGACCTGGCCGTTCAGACACAGGTTGCATTTTAATAAGATCAGATTCGTATGGGATTCAGGTCCACAGAGCCAAGAGGCCTGGGTCGCATTAGAAAAAATCTAACCCCCTTGTTGTTCAGACTATCATGAAGAGATCAGATCCAGGTCGCATGTGGGCAAAAAAAAAAAATCATATTTAGGTCACTTCAGGCTGCTGTGTGAACATGGCCTTAGTTAGGTGAAATAACTGTATCAGAACTCTCTCAAGTTTGAGCAACCAATCACCACTCCCTCTATCCAGTGTCACATGCTGACGTTCCCCTCATCTTTTAAGACTTCCTTTTAAGACACTAGCTAAGATAGTTGTAATTGGCTGAATGTAATAACCTATTTATTACACCTGTGCACAGGACTTGGGTTCAGTATTGCAGGTGGAGTTGGAAGTCAACACATCCCAGGTGATAACAGCATATATCTGACCAAAATCATTGAGGAAGGAGCAGCAGATAAGGATGGACGGCTACAAGTCGGAGACAGATTGATAATGGTGAGCAGTGCAATAGTTTGTGTACTCATATATGCAGTGTTGTGCCTGAACGCGTTCATTGAACGAAAGTTCATGAACTCGTTCATATTTTGGGCGAACGTGAACTGAACGTACTGCATTACTGCCTGATGAACGTTATTGTGAACTCGTTCATTCTGGAGTCCGTGAACGGCACGCTCTACTCCGTTTAATAGGTTGCCAGATTTCTATAGAGTCCTCCAGGCGAAACCCCGGCTAAATCACACCGTAAACAGGCCTTAATATGTAGCGGGAAAAACACCCAATCTGGCAACAGCAGCTACCAGCGTCGTAGCCTACAGCCGCGTGCGTCATCAAAACAAAATGCAGCGTTGAAGCTGCAGCAGCATGGAGGCGACCGTTGAGGCGACAAAGCAGCAGTATGATCACTTAAAACAGTTTTATGACCAGGTGGTCGGTGAGGATGATGGCAACAAGTTTGCCCGCCGGCTTTCAGTAAAAAAATCCGCACTTCAGTAACCTTAAATTCCTCCCTCAGCCTGGTCCCTCAGTTTGTGTTAGTAAAATCTTCTTGAGCGGAGGTCTTCAACAGGGGATCCGCGACCCCTAGGGGGTCTACGGAGGTACTGCATGAAGGTCTGCATGGTTAGTTGATATTTTTATATTCCCCCCCTGCAATTTTTTTCCCACTAATTGAAATGTCTTTAAATAATCATTAACATGAAATCAACACACTGTAGTAAACAGATAAATGGAGGCAGAAGATGTCTTTCAGTCATCAATGCTCACATTCAGCGACACACAGGAGCTCTTTCAAGCTGGGCACCGTTTCCTTCACAACACCTGTCCCATCAACCAGGAATCAGAATCAGAAAAACTTTAATAATCCCAGGGAGAAATTAATTTCTTTACATTACTCCATCTGTAATAGAGTGACTATAGGACACAATTTCATACAATATATATAGTTAGGGGGTCCCCGCTCCATCTCGCCATCAGTTTGGGGGTCCTTGGTCTGGAAAACATAGAAGACCCCTGTTCTTGAGGGTTTTACTATCCATGTAACTTGTTTGTTAAACCTGCCTGGTATAATTTTCCAGGATTCCAGTATTCCTTTTTAGTATGTATTGAAATGGAATTTCAAATGGAAAAAATTATTAAAATAAAAAAAAACATTTGCACCTTAAAGACTACTTTCCTATTTTTCTTTTAATAATTACTCATAAAAAAGACCATTCAAGCAGCACATTTTTCCTGATGTTTTTGAGAATATACTGTAGGGGTGAAAGCTGCAGCTGCTACTAGTGTGAAGTGAATGGACAGCAACAAAGCGTTAAAGCAACAATGGGGAAATGCTGTCCCCTCAATGCTAATGTAAACCCTGGTTGGATAAGGAACTATGAACTAGTTCATTTTTTGGAATTATGAACTATGAACTGAACTAGTTCATTTTAAAATGTGTGAACTGAACTTTGAACTAGTTCACGTAGAAAGAGAACTTTCCCAACACTGCATATATGAACCTCTCTGAACAAATGCTTTGTAAAAGCACCTTATCTGCACTTTTTACCAACAGGTTCTGTGTGTTATAGTTCTATCAGCTACGCTTATATCAATTTAATTTAAAAATACTTTATTCCTCTTAGGGGGAAGTTAAATGGTCCAGTAACTCATAAGTTATCTTTTACACAGGTGTTGTAGTTGTTGTAGGCAGGATGGATCTTTTGCAGTGGTCTGTCTTGCACTGGACCTGGAGAATCCCCCGAATGAAGACACTCTGTTGTTGTTTAAGAATTTTCATAGACTTAAACTTAGACAACTTTTATTGTAATTTTGTATACAAAGAGTGTATACAAAACTAAGTTTCATTTAGTACAGCTTTTCAGACAGTAAATGAACATTTCCATTCCATAAATTGCGGCAGTGGACCTGCATCGAATGCTGCGAAGCCTCTTCCCAGAGGGCAGCAGGGGGAACGGTTTTGAAGAAGATGCTCACTGTTGTCCATAATTTTCTTCACTTTATGAGGAATTCTTCTCGGTGAAATAATCTCCAGGGGTTCTAAAGGAGTTCCTTGAACAGAGCCGGTGTTCTGTCAGATCAGCATACCCCGTCAGACCAGCATAAAATGAAGTTGTCGAGAAACTGAGACTTTAGGCAATTCTTGCAGGGACAGGTTTATATTTACATCGGCAGACAGAGAGAAAAAACTCTGACTGTGGAAAGTTCAGTACGTACATTTATACAACTCCCAACACACACTCCCCATCCCACCAAGGACATTTCCTGTTAGGTTAATATATTGACGGAACTTCTCAAAACAACCTTCCTGTTCATGCCATGAGGGAGGCTGTGGGAACTCATTCTTATCTCTCACAACCTTACCTTGTCTAGAGTGAGGATCCCTCCTATTAGTCCGAGAAAAGGCACACTCAGATATTTCACGTTGCACATAGTCAATATGTATGTGCAAGGCGTCAGATTTGCATATGTCTGACACCATAAGTGGAATGAAGTCCACTAGGCTACTCTATTTATGCGTGATATTATAAACAAGAAGTTGTAGTTGAAGTTAAACACACAAACCTACCTGAACGGAATATTGAAAGTCAAGTAGGCTTGTTTATTTATGCATGATGTAATAAACAAAAAGTTTTATTTGAGGTAAACAGAATTTAAAGCTGTGTTCGCTACTTCTCACCAAGACGTAGCTAACCTGTCAGATTGTGGTTGGGGGAATATTGATATTTACAGGCTGATCGGCAAATGTAACAGAAGCATGTGTAGCACTATGGGTATGCTGATCTGATGTGGTATGCTGTCAGCAGCAGCCTTCTTTATCAGCTTGTTGAGCTTTTGTAAGTCATTAGGTCTGATGCCGTTACTCCATCAGAGGATGAAGAAATAGATCAGACTCTCCACAACAGACTTATAGCAGATATGTAGCATTTTGCGGCAAAAACCAAAGGGCCTAAGCTTCCTTAGGAATTACAGTCTGCTTTGTCCCTTCTTGTAGATTGTTGTAGTTGTTGTCCAGGTGAACACCAAGATATTTATACTCTTCTACCACCTCCACTTCTTCTCCCAGGATGTTGACAGGATTCCACTTGTTCCTGTTTCTTCTGAACTCTACAGTCACCCCCCTTGTTTTTATTTACATTCAGGATCAGATGATTGTTTTCACACCATGCCACAAAGCGGTTCACCAGCTCTCTGTACTCAGCTTCTTGTCCATTTTTGATGCTCCCAATGACTGCAGAGTCATCCCAGTATTTCTGCAGATGATAGGACTCTGTCTGGTCCTGGAAGTCAGAGGTCAACAGAGTAAAAAGCAATGGAGAGAGTACATTACCCTGTGGTGCTCCTGTGCTGCTGACTAGATCAGACAGCTGAGCCTTCAGTCTAACAAACTGCGGTCTGTTTGTCAGGTAGTCTTTGATCCAGGTGATTGTTGATGCCTCCACCCGAGTCTTCCGCAGTTTCTCATAAAAGTCAGTAAGGATAAATGGTGTTCCGTGTTCTGGAGTAATCAAATAACATGATCCTCACAGTGCTGTCTGCCTTCTTTAAATGACAGTGGGAGATTTCTACCTTGGAAGTTGGGGTGGAGGATTTAAAAGGAGTTTTTAACAAAGGCAGAGAGATTATAACTTGAACCAAGAGGGTTTTATCTCTAATTTCTAGCTAAAAAAACAAAAACAAAGTAAATCCATAATAATTACACAGCTGTCTGATTCTAATGAAAACTTTTAGTGGTGTGTAAAAGTGAGACATAAAATGACAGGGGTAACTCTGCACCTGTACTGCAGAGTCATTGACCTTCAGACATATATTTTCATTTTTAGCATCCAAAAGGTTTACTTCAATGATTGTCCTTTATTTAGATCTTCACATCTGTTGTTGCACTCTGACCAGCTTTCCTGGCCATGGTGAAGTAAGGCCAAATAAGTCCAAATTAAATGCATTTTAGTCTGTTGAGTTTCCATTTATGTGCTTCTTTTCAGAGGAGAACTAAAGTATCAAACATTCAAACCCTAATATGACTTGGGAGGGTATAGGCACCTGGGCATAATAATTCCAAGGCCAGGTTGTAAAAAAGCACCACAATGTACTGTAACAATTCAATTCAATTCAGTTTATTTCTATAGGGCCAATTCACAACACATATCATCTCAAGCACTTTACAGTTCACCAAATCATACAGTCAAATGGATTCAAAATTTTCTAAGGAGGACCAGTTGATTGCATCGACTCATTGACTCGAAGGCAATCCCTCACACTAAGCATGCTTGTAGCGATAGTGTCAGAGAAACAGGGCTACACTGAAAAACAGGCCGATCTCCAACATCTATAAACAAAGGTGTTGATGGCAGCAGCACAAAATGTTAGAGATTAAACTAACAGATTCTGCAGAGTGGGCAAATAGAGATAGAATGAAACAGAATGATGAAAAAAGGGGTCTCTATGTCCTCCAGACGTCTAACCCTATAGCAGCAAATTAGAAGCTAACAGGTTAAAATCCCTCAAAGAAGTTTGATGATGTTCATCATGTACGAACCAAAATGGCCTACTTCCTCTTGGTTTTAGAACATACCTCCAAGACACATTATTCATAATTTAGAGAGATCTAAAATTCTACAATGGTTTATCTATCTCAGTTAAGAGAACATAAAATATCCCTTTTCGGATCCATTAAAATACTGGAAAATATTCAATAAGTTTCCATTAATGTACTTTTTTTCAGAGGAGAACTAAAGCATCAAATATTGAAACCCTGATAGGCCTTTGGAGGGCATAGGCTCCTGGGCCTAATACACTATATTGCCAAAAGTATTTGCTCACCTGCCTTGACTCACATATGAGCTTAAGTGACATCCCGTTCCTAATCCATAGGGTTCAATATGACGTCGGTCCACCCTTTGCAGCTAGAACAGCTTCAACTCTTCTGGGAAGGCTGTCCACAAGGTTTAGGAGTGTGTTTATGGGAATTTTTGACCATTCTTCCAGAAGCGCATTTGTGAGGTCGCACACTGATGTTGGACGAGAAGGCCTGGCTCTCAGTCTCCGCTCTAATTCATCCCAAAGGTGTTCTATCGGGTTGAGGTCAGGACTCTGTGCAGGCCAGTCAAGTTCATCCACACCAGACTCTGTCATCCATGTCTTTATGGACCTTGCTTTGTGCACTGGTGCACAGTCATGTTGGAAGAGGAAGGGGCCAGCTCCAAACTGTTCCCACAAAGTTGGGAGCATGGAATTGTCCAAAATGTCTTGGTATGCTGAAGCATTCAGAGTTCCTTTCACTGGAACTAAGGGGCCAAGCCCAGCTCCTGAAAAACAACCCCACACCATAATCCCCCCTCCACCAAACTTTACACTTGGCACAATGCAGTCAGACAAGTACCGTTCTCCTGGCAACCGCCAAACCCAGACCCGTCCATCAGATTGCCAGATGGAGAAGCGCGATTCGTCACTCCAGAGAACGCGTCTCCACTGCTCTAGAGTCCAGTGGCGGCGTGCTTTACACCACCGCATCCGACGCTTTGCATTGCACTTGGTGATGTATGGCTTGGATGCAGCTGCTCGACCATGGAAACCCATTCCATGAAGCTCTCTGCGCACTGTTCTTGAGCTAATCTGAAGGCCACATGAAGTTTGGAGGTCTGTAGTGATTGACTCTGCAGAAAGTTGGCGACCTCTTCGCACTATGCACGTCAGCATCCGCTGACCCCGCTCCGTCAGTTTACGTGGCCTACCACTTCGTGGCTGAGTTGCTGTGGTTCCCAAACACTTCCATTTTCTTATAATACAGCTGACAGTTGACTGTGGAATATTTAGGAGCGAGGAAATTTCACGACTGGATTTGTTGCACAGGTGGCATCCTATCACAGTTCCACGCTGGAATTCACTGAGCTCCTGAGAGCGACCCATTCTTTCACAAATGTTTGTAAAAACAGTCTGCATGCCTAGGTGCTTGAATTTATACACCTGTGGCCATGGAAGTGATTGGAACACCTGATTCCAATAATTTGGATGGGTGAGCAAATACTTTTGGCAATATAGTGTAATTCCAAGGCCAGGTTGTAATGCTTGTATAGGCATGATAGCAGCTATGTATTTATCTTTTTACCTTTTCAAACTTCATTTGTTGGCAACAAAGCGCTGTATTTCAGCAAATGAGTGTTACGTGTGTCTTCACAGGTGAACGGCAGCAGTCTGGAGGATGTTTCTCATGAGGAGGCTGTGGCCATTTTGAAGAATACTTCGAACGTGGTCCACTTGAAGCTGGGAAAGTCTACCAAAATATGCCTATCAGATGCGTTTGAGCTTCCTCCCATCTCAAACTGTGGGTTCTTGCATCTTTTATTTTAACTGGTTACTTAGGTAGCGTAATAATCTTTTAATTTCGAGGGTATATCATTTGTTTTTGATCAGACATTTGATTTGTTACTTTGTCATCTGTTGTTGACATAGTTGTTTTACTTATAGTGACTCAACCTGATAACTGCAAAGAATAAATACTTTATTGCCTTATTAAGCAGAAATGTTGGTTATCTATACTTTATTCACACTATAGTAATTATTTTTAGACAATTTTTTTTATCTTTACACCTTATATTTTAAAAATAGAGTCATTAGTTTTGTTTCCTTTAAGGTCATTTTTGTTATGGCCCGTTGCAGTTTAAAATAAAATTTAAAAAAAGTTGTCATCTAGAATTTTAAGAAAACATTTCCTTTAATTGGGTAATGCATTTCTCGAAATGTTCTTTCATTACTTTTACTTTTATACTGTAAGTAGTTTTAAAAATGCTAGTTTTACACTTTTACTTAAGCAAAACGCTTAAGTCGATACTGTGGCTTCTGCAACTGTTTTTAAACAATAGAATTCACACTTCTATATGAGTGATAAACATTAATGCATTTGACACCTTTGGGTATTTCCATAGACTATTTTGCCTTAATACCCACATTCAGCAAATCAGTTTTGAAACAGAATTTTTCGACGTTTTAAAATGACTTTAGGCAGACTGCAATAGCTAAATTAATGACGCCACTGTACCAGGGAAACACTGAAGCCTTATTTTCTTAAAGTTATCAATCTATATCAACCATGAAAATACAGGGCAGACACTAAACAGTTGTAGATTTGATATTTTATAATCATTATGTATATTTTGTCTTACTCTTTCTACGCAGCTTACTTTTACATGAATGATCACGCCTTGTCCGACCACAGCACTCCAGCGTACAAGTTTAGGTGGCCTCCCATCTGTCCTGAGAATTATTTGAGCCTCTCTACACATCCAGCTTTTGAAGAAGATATAAAAAGGTCAGATGTTTATTACTGTATTATCCGGACTATAAGCCGCTACTTTTTTCTCAAGCGGCTTATAAGAAGCTGCAGCTTTTTTGTAGATTTTTGCTAACCGCTAGAGGGGACAGTGAAAGTTAGAAATAAAAAAAAGGGGGCTACCTGTCATTTAGCCTAAGAACATGCTAGCAGCAGGCACAAAGCAGAAAAAATATCCCAAATTCACACATTATGACAATTATTTGCCGCATTAAAGCTGCTGAACTAATGAATAGACAGCGCTCAGCTCCTGCAGAGCTAAAATAAAGAGCCGACGAAGCCCTATCTTTCAGTTGAAGCTCTAATTGGTGTGAGCCAACAAGCTAAAGGGAGCTAGCATTCTTCTCCACCCCTACTCCAAGGGCTATATGTAGAGGCTGGTGGAGTTTTGTCCAGGGAGGGCAATAAATTCAAAATAGACGTATACCAAAAACCACTGAAACGTATACTAAATTATCAAACCAGTATATTTATATGAATACCACGAACAAAAAACTTGACAAAAAGAAAAAAAAAACTTGAAACAATCTTGCCCTTCTGTCATTATCGCAGCTTTGGGAGCTGATCTGATAACTCACTTAATTCACCTGCTGTTCTCTCCCCGCTCTTTGATTATCATTGATCTTATTCACCTGCTCCCACTGCTATATATATATATATATATATATATATATATATATATATATATATGGTTCCGCCCAGATAAAGGGGCCTGATCATTATTTGTGTATTCTTAGTCTATTCGTGCTAATTTTTCATTTCAGTTTGTTCATGTTTGTTTTTCTAGTTTTGTTTAAATCCCTGGTTCATATGTGAAAAAAAACAGACAGATGGACCGAGAATTCACGCAAGTCAGATAGTGGGAAGTTTTAAACTTTTAATGACAGAAATGAACACAAAATTTAACAGAACAGAAATGCGGGCTGCTTTGGATAAGCAGACTGCAGCGGCTGCAGGAGGGGGAGCAGGGCACCGCCCAATCACTGTCACTCTGGAGGGAGAAACACAGGTAAGTGACTCACTTAAATAATCATCTCCCGTCAGATGGTCACTTACCTGTGTTTCTCCCTCCAGAGTGACAGTGATTGGGCGGTGCCCTGGTTTAACAGTTCAGTCAATCCTCTCCGAGGAAGGCAGAATCCATGGGCTGACAAACGAAGTGCGGCACAAGGAGCCGCCCAGAGTGTCCCCGATGCAGCAACCCCAATCCAGGTCAGGGCTACAGATCAGACAGGAACAGTTCTGGGATCCAGGAGTCTGTAACCCAACCAGGGACCAAACAGGAACAGATAGATCCAGGGTTCTGGGAATTGACAGGATGCGAAGGCAGGTTCAGAGTTCCATGAGTCCAGGTGTGAGCTCAAACAGACACTCAGATGGAGATAGGCGGGCTCAGTGGTTGAGAAGAACAGAGACAAGACATGCTACCTGGATAATTGCAGAAACTTTAAATTGATCTCCACCTAGGAACCAGACTTACAGGACTAAAAGTGATCTCCTGACGTTCCGAGCCAAAACCCAGAGGGCTCGGCGGTAAAGAGCAGGGAAACGATCAGGAGACAGGAGACAAACACCAAACCCTCTGAATCCACTGTCCTCCGGAGACGGAAACATGATGCTCTTTCCATGGAAAGCAAGATACCCAGAAATACCTTTATACACTTTATAAAACATTTTAAAAAGTAGCCACTGCTCCACATTTCTTATTTCTGACATTCATCTATTATAAAGTAATAACTTAATAATAAATAAATCAATGACTCAATTACTGGTAATAATCTTGGTGTGATATTTCTAAGTGAGATATGGTTACATATAGCCGTATCTTACAAATTAATAGTTGAAAATAACATACATTGGGATTTCTGGATTATTATTTTTTTATTTAGTTTATGTCTCTTACTGTGGAGATCCACATACAATGACGCTCCATGATTTCTAAATGCGAGAACTTGCAAAATAGCAGGGTGTTCAAATACTTATTTATTCTTATATACCCAAGACATTTGATTACATTTTAATATATATTATCTTACCTGCAGATTAGGAATATATTAGAACTGGGTGTTATAAATGAAGGGTAAAGCCAATTAATGATTATTAGTTAAATGATGATAACTGATATCTGCATACTCACCAGGGTTCTTTTGTCTTTTACCCAAGGTTGCACTTCTTGACTGTCTGTTAAAATCTAGTTGTCTTTCACCAATTTAGTAATTTAGGCTATGGCTATTAGTGGAGTTATTAATCACCAACCAAAGGTCTCTGTTTCTTTAACCCTAAAGGGTGGATCTGGCTCTGAGTGACAAATGGTTCACTGTTATAAATTATCACAGACAACCACAGTTAAAATATCAGTATCTTATGCCAAATTACTTGAATTGTATTGATGTCACACTGGAGAAATTTACCTCTGCTTTTAACCCATACCCTTAGGGAGCAGTGAGCGAACAGATCAGACGGGGACAGACAGAGCCAGTGGATGAGAGGGAACCGAACCAGAAAATCAGAATCATTAGGAAACACTGAAACAGTATCACCACTGGTTAGGGATGAAACTCGCCTGAAGACACTGGCGAATACTGAGAATAATCTACTCATTGGAACGGGAGCATGAACCTTTGACTAACAAAACTAATGAAACAGAACCAACAGACATCAAACAGCAAACAAACAGAAAGCAAACAATGGTCTGGCCCCGATAGCTGGGGCTCGGTCGAATTTAAAGCTGAGATCCAGGTGGATAGGATGATTTATAATTAGGAGCATGACAGAAAGCAGGTGAAAGGCATGAATAATTAAGATGAGCTATCAGGGCAGATCAGGACACAGTGCATGCAATGAATCTACTAATGTTTGGTTGTGCACTTTGTGTATTATCATACCATCAACAAGAAGATGGTTGATTTAGATAACGTGGTTTAGTGCATAAGCATTAGAAAAAATGTAATTAAGTATTCTCTAGTTGAATCATACTAATTTTTAAATAGGTTAAAACATCTGAATCTATGTGAGTTGTATTTAGAAAGCATTTTAGATTCTGATTGTTTTTGCTAAATGTGTCAACCAGACTAAAAGAGAAAGACTGAAAACATTTTAACAACAGATGAAAATATATAATACATCCATTCCAAGTTTGAGGCTCAAAACAGTGATCTTTGCTACATGTCTTTTAACTCTCTAACCCTCCCATTTCCTTTCAGTCCATTTTCAAAATAAAGGCTTGTTGTGCCAGAATAAAAGCATAAAGAAAAGGGGTTAAGTGTGGGTAGAGGAACAGCGAGTGTGAGCAAATACACACGAGGGAGATAGGGAAAGAGAGAGAGAGAGAGAGAGAGAGAGAGAGAGAAAGTGAATTTGGGTCATACAGTCTTGAAATTTGTGTGTTTATACTGTCCTTTGGATTCAGCCTTCTGCTACCAGTGTTGAACATGCTGAGACCGACCAACTCTCAAGAGCTGATATATTATCTCAACTGTGTATACAGGGAACCCAGGACAGTTGTGCTTCACAAGGGATCCACAGGCCTGGGCTTCAACATAGTGGGTGGAGAAGATGGTGAAGGTATCTTTGTCTCCTTCATCCTATCAGGCGGGCCGGCTGACCTCAGCGGAGAGCTAATGCGGGGAGATGAGATCTTATCGGTAAGTGCTAAAAAACCTGATTCATATAGAGAAACAGTGGAGAGAACCTGAATGAGGTTACATAGGATGGCTCACTTTTTTCAAACCAGTGTCTTTGCTTGTCAAACTTTTATTTTTACAGCTTTAAACAAAGCAAATATGGCTTTTTAGATGCTTGTTAAATATTGCATAAAAATATAATAACAATGGCTGCTATTTTGTTATCTATTTACAGTTCTATGTTTTATATTATCAAAAGACGTCAGTTTTTATATAAAAGCTCTATAAACCAAATGTATCCAAACCAATGATTTCTTTTATCAATATAGTGTTGCACAACACTTTTTTTAATCATCAGAGGTTTTCAGTTTTGTTCCACATCAGTCTTGCAGCTACAAATTCAGTTCAATTATGTTTATTTCTATAACGCCAATTTACAACACTTCATATCAATGCACTTTACGGAGACAATTCAACTACATCCTAAAGTCAGATTAGTTCAAACCAGCTGATTATATCGACCCATTGATTCTTTAGCAATCCCTCACACCAAGCATGCTTGTAGCGACAGTGGAGAAGAAAACTCCCTTTTAACAGAAAGAAACCTCCACAAGAACCAGGCTCAGTTTGAGCAGCCATCTGCTGAGTCCGACTGGGGTCAAAGAGAAAGAAGAAGACATTGAAAAGGAAGCAGAGATACAAAAGGCAACTGTCAACCAGCTCCACAGGCGGCCCCGTCCAGGAAACACACAGCCAGGCAGACGAGCTCCGAGCCAGCTCCCATGTCAGAGGATGAAGAGAGCACATCCAGTTAGTCACAGTCAGAGAAACAGGACTACACTGAAAAACAGGCCAAGCTCCAACATCTAGAAACAAAGGTGTTGATGGCAGCAGCACAGCTGATATTTCTCTCCAGGATGGAGTCACAGCCAAACAGGAACAGGCCAAATGAAGCTACTATAAGAAAAAGCAGAGAGAGCAGAACGTTAGAGATTGAACTAACAGATTCTGCAGAGAGGAGAATAGAGATAGAATGAAGCAGAATGATGAAAAAGGATCCCTATGTCCTCCAGAAGTCTTAGCATCTAGAGATAGCTCAGGATAACCCCTCTAATTATAAGCTTTATCGAAAAGGAGTTTTGAGTCTAGCCTTAAAAGTAGACATGTTGTCATAGATCTTTTAAATAGAAAAGCTTTCTGTGCTGGCCTCACCACATGTCACTAAGAGCAGCGAAGTACAGAGCAAACCAAATGAATGGAAGATACCCACGTCTAAACATTACCAACACATTCCAGATGTTAATTAAATAAGTCTTAACACATTTTAAAGTGATTTTTAAATAGAGAAGCATTCATAAAGACGAATATTTGACTGAAGTATGCACAACTTGCTTAGTGGGATTATGAGCCACATATCTCCCTGTACTAAAAGAATAATTTTTCTCCAGAAAATATGTGAAGGATAATTTGTGTGATCTTAATTTAGACTTAAGATAGCTTTTATTGTTATTTTGTATACACAGAAGTTTATAAAAAATAAAATTTCGTTTTGTACAGCTTTCGGAACATTTACATTCTTTAAAACGCAGCCATGATCAAATGTAAACAGTGTGGGAGAAAAAAACATGATTCAAAAAACGCACCATGGAAGTGGTATAAAGTGGTTGATATGACAGTTCAGAGCCTTAAATGTTTATGGTGCAAAAAGGCAAAATTTTGGTTTGGTGTTATCAGTGTAAGTCTGTGACATAATTGAGAGTTTTCTCAACATTCAGCTTTCTGATAGCAGTGCGGAAGAGGCTGTTTCGGAATCTTCTGGACCTGTATCGAATGCTGTGAAGCCTCTTCCCAAAGGGCAGCAGCGCTCATGAGTTTGAGTATAGAGTAAATTTATTTTTTTAAAGGCCAGATGTATCACTCTGATAACATCTGAAACCAAAAATGTGCTTATCTGGTTAAGCATTGATTTACACAAATTATCAATAAATGTTCAAATTGTTTTATATCATATTTGTGTAATTTAATTACACAATGAATTTATTAATGTCTTTGGACAAAGGCAGCACACTGCTCACTTGATAAGATCACATATAACAACAAACATCATTGCAAATGTCATGATGACTGGCTTGATTGCTTATTTCATTCTCCTGCCTAGCTCTGCCCAGTTTCTCATTACCTCACATCATATCCACCTGTTCCATCGTCTGTTTAACTGCCTGCTCCCAGTTATCAGTGCAATATTATTCTTGAGCCATTGGTGGGAGAGTTTTCTAGCTTTACTGATTGTGCTCTGAATGCCTGATCCTGACATGATATGTCTTCATAACCTTGAGCCTACCTATCCCTGTTCTGATCTGTTTGCCTCACCTGTCTTTGGTCTCCTGTTGGATTCTTCTTGTGGACTGTACCTGGATCTACCTCTTGACTTCGCTCTCTGGATTATCATGTCTTCCTTCAACTGCTTGGATTTGATCTCCTGCTTGTTTTGCAGTTTTCAAGGTTGCAGTGTGTGGAATCTACCACTTTCTCTGAGCACAGACTGAACTGTTAAGCCAGGATATTGACTCATGTGCATAATCATCCTCCGTCAGATTATCGTGGTCAATAACCTGTGTTTCTCTCTTCAGAGGTCGCTGCCTCAGATGCCTAGCTGCTGCTACTGCAGTTATGCCAATCTGCTTTTTGAGTAATCCACTGTGTGTCTTGCCTTGAATACGGAGTCCTCTTTTCTAAACCTTGACAGAATAATCTGGCCAGACATTGGATTTTGGACATTGGACAATGTATTTCTCAGCTCGAGTCAGGCTGACAGGAGATTGTTGATTACAGCTTACGTAATTTTAATATTAGCCAGAAAAGCTAAGCTGTGGGGAATTTCTGAATGGCAAAACACTTCTAGTTTATGTGACTCTTAGAAAGCATTTTCTCAGGAACTAATCAGAGTTGTTGCCCAGTTCATCCTGGTTGAGAAGCTTCATGGAGACTTCTGTCACTTAGGCAGGGTGATCGATCTATTGACTTCCACCTGTTATCCTCTGAAAGAACCTGGAATGAGGACGCCCTCACAGACATATTCTTTTTTTTGCCCTTAATGAAAAGATTAAGGATGAACTTTAAACCCATGTCTACCCTTGGACCCTGAAGCAGCTGGAGGACCTCGCCATATAGATAGATCTTTGCCTCACAGAACGTTGCAAAGAATGTAAAGCACTGGAGTCGGCTATCCCTCGACCAGCTCCTCGCCCCGCTCATTTTTCCCTGTGTCGGTACTTGGTCCCACTCAAACGTCGGATCCCAAACCGATGCAGCTGGGATGTACACGCTTGTCCAAGGAGGAGAAGAAATTATATCATCAGCTTAACCTGTGTTTCCACTGTGGCGGAGAGGGACATTGAGTGAGATCCTGTCCTGTAAAGGATAGAACTCAGCTGAGCTTACCAGACTCTCTGCTTCCCCAGGTCTCCTGTTTCCCAGATCTCAGTTGATTATTTCCAGGACTCAAAACCCTTCAACATCCAAGGACTCTTATCCTGTTTGTGTTCCTCCACCAACTTCTGAATCTGTACTTTTTGATTTTTTTATGGGGATAGGGAAGATCACCTATTTCCCTTCCCGGCTCCTACTTCCTGTAACACTTTTCTCTTCAAGTCAGAGCCCTTTAGTGGGGCAGTTTTCAAGCCAAAGCCCTTTTGTGGGGCAGTTTTAAGCTGAAGCCCTTTAGCAGCCAGTCCCTGAGCTAGAGGCCTTTAGCGGGCCAGTCCCTGAGACAGAGCCCTTTAGCAGGCCAGATCCCCTTTGTGTTAAGCCAATGTTGTTTTTAGGTGGCAAAATGATTTCAGGTGTTCCCTGATTTAATGACATTTTATTTTGGACCCTCCTTTCAGACCCCCTCCTCCCATCCTGTTTGGGTTGTTTGGTTTTTGGACTCCACCTGCCTTGTTTGGGTCATTATGTTTTGGTTTGTTCTGAGAGTTTTCTAGCATTAGTAATTGTGTTCTACACAACTTATTTTGATGGTTTGTATTTTTTTTATATCAACAGGCCATAACGTAAATTAGCTTAAATTAAATAAAACTAATAAATCTATTTTTAAAATGTAAAGAGTAGAAAGTAAAGTTATTTGTAAAAAAATGTAAGGAGTAGAAGTAAAAAGTTGTCTTAAAAAATAATACAAGTAAAGTATTGATAGCCAAAATTTCTACTTCAGCAAGGTAACCAAGGATTTGGACTTTGTTACTGCTTGCACCTCTGACCATTTCTAGTATGAATTTACTTAAATGCCCTTGTAACTATCAACGTATCTATTGTATATATGTAATGTAATTCCACAATTGATAAATGTATTACTGTCTTTAAATAGAGGCAGCACACTGTCATGGTTTCGGTTCTGTTCAAGTTTTATCTCTGAGTTTCATTGGTCTTATTTCCATTTTTGTGTTCTAGATATTTTTGATTGTATTTTTTTCCCCACAAGATTCTATCTTGTGTCAGTCTCATTTTCCCTAGCTCCCTTCTTGCCTCTGTTCACAACTGCTCCCAATCTGCTAATTGGCCTAGGCTCTGTTCGAAAACCTAGGACGCATCCTTAGAAGACCGGATTCAAAGGCCGATTACGTCATAGCGCGGCGCCGAGGTCTGGTCGGATTCCAAGAGTCCTTGTTATGCGGCCTTAAAATGCGTCCTTCTTTTTGCCCAATTTGAAGGACGGGTCTGATGTATCCTCGGTATTCTTGGTTATCCCAGGATTCATTGCTAGACCAAGCAAGCCGTGATCAGAGTAAAGGTTACTTGGCGCCGAACAGTGGTGAAAATTGGAAGTTCAGTTTAATATAATACAAGTCATTTAATAGTTCCGTCTGAGATTAATGAAAAATAGTTGTTTTAATGGTTATTGAGTCAGATATGTGGCGGTAGTGTTTGGTTTATCTAAAGGTTTTAATCTGTTACTGTGGAAATGGGTTTGGCTATAATTTAAGGACAGATTCTAATATATCTGCAGGGGGGGGACTATAAATCTGATAGGATTTTTATTTTTTTATTGCTGTTTTGCACAATATGCTTAACTATGTATTTTTTGTTGTTGAATATTAGAGATTTTGCAGATATATTTTTTATACATACATTGTTTAGATTTACTTATTTCTTTCTAGCCCTTTTATAGAATAGAAAATCCCTTTATTGTCCCACAATGGGCAAATTTACAGCAGCAGAAAGTGGACCTTAATGTGGACCTTAGAAAAATGTCTAAGAATAACATAATAGGGAAGAGTTAAAATATAAACAATAAAATCCTGTAAAGTGTTTTAACAATATAAAACTGGAGAATAAATAACCAATATGCAGCTATGGACATTTTTACAGTAATGGATATTTGAAAATAGCAGCAACATCAGAGATGTGCAAAATGACAGCAGCATGTTATTTAACTGACTAAGGTTTCTATCATTACATTTGATTTGATTTGTTCCTGCTCCCAGCTGTTGGAACATTTATTCTATTCTGGATTCTTGTGAGTGTAGTCTTTGTTCACTTCACAATAAAAAAGAAATAAATAAACAGTTTTGAAAACTTCTGCATTCATTCTTTTCCTGCTTTGTGTGTCAACATTTACGGTTGCTAAGCAACAGAGCATACAGCGGTAAAACCCGCCGAAGGGTAGACCTGGTCGAATTCACAGCCTAAACTCTTCCGGTCTCCTTATTTTCAAGGACTTCGAAGGATCCTGTCTAGGTAGACCGCGTCCTTGGAGGACACGTCCTAGGTTTTCGAACAGAGCCCTAGTCTTTGTTTCTCTCTCCCATATAGTCTCTTTCTGTTCAGTCACTTTTTACTGGTTTGACATAATTTCTTTCCCCCTTCTTGTGAGTATTCCTGGTTCTGGGAGTGTTTCCTTTCCACTGTCGCTACAAGCATGCTTAGTGTGAGGGATTGTATTTGAGTCAATGAGTCGATGTAATCAACTGGTTTTCCTTAGATAGAAAACTTCGTATCAATTTGACTGTATGATCGGGTTGAACTGTAAAGTGCCTTGAGATGACATGTGTTGTGAATTTGGCGCTATATAAATAAACTGAATTGAATTGAATTCTGAGATTTTGTGGATTTATGTTTGGGATTTTTGCTTCTCTTTTACTTTTGGTTAATTCAATCTTCAAGAAACCACTTCAGCTTTTGTTTCTGCATTTGGGTGCTCTTTGAAACCAGACACTCCTCGCCTCCAAGGCCGCTCCACTGTGTTTCTTTGTGGCTCCCTAAGGTTCGAGTGCCGCAGTCAGCGGCCTTCAAGGTTTGAGCGCCGCAGTCGCGGCCACCAAGGGTCCTGCAGCAGAGACGCCATCCTCCAATGGTCCTGCAGCAGTGACGCTGTCCTCCAGAGGCTCTCCTTCGTCACCATCCTCCATAGGTCCTCCTTCGTCGCCGTCCTCCAGAGGTCCTCCTTCATCGCCGTCCTCCAGAGGTCCTCCTTCATCGCCGTCATCCAGAGGTCTTCCTTTGTCGCCATCCTCCAGAGGTCCTTCTTCGTCACCGGCCTCCAGAGGTCCTCCTTCGTCACCGGCCTCAGGGCCGGCCTCCAGAGACTCTGTCTCATCTCGGGCCTCAGAGCCCGCCTCCAGAGACTCTGCCTCTTATCTGGCCCCAGGGCCGGCCTCCAGAGACTCTGCCTTTTCTCTGGCCTCAGGGCCGGCCTCCAGAGACTCTGCCTCATCTTGGGTCTCACGGCCGTCCTTGTGAGACTTTGCTTGGCCTTGGGTCTTACTGCCGTCCTCTTGAAACTTTGCTTGTCCTTGCCCACCTTTTGATGGGGTTTTTTGTGTTTGTATTCTGTGTTTGGTTTTTGTTTCTTGCCCTCCTTCCTGGTCTCCTCTCTGCCCATCCCGAGTGGGTTTTTTTGTTTTTGGACTTCTTAGGGCATCTGGAATCTGCCCTTAAGTGGGAGGTACTGTCATAGTTGTGGTTCTGTTCAAGTTTTATCACTGAGTTTTCATTGGTTTTATTTCCAGTTTTGTGTTCTAGTTTCTTTTTATTGTATTTGAGTTCTTAGATATTGTTTGCCCCCTTGTGTCAGTCTCCTTTTCCCTAGCTCCCTTCTTGTCTCTGTTCACACCTGCTCCCAATCTGCTAATTAGCCTGGTCTTTGTTTCTCTCTCCCATATGGTCACCTCCTGTTCAGTCATTTTTTGCTGGTTTGTTGTCATTTCTTTTCCCCTGTCTGGGCAGTATTCCAGGTTCTCAGATTTGGTGGATTTATGTTTTGGATTTTTGTTCTGTTGAACTTTTGCTTAATAAATCTTCAAGAAAGCATTTCAGCTTTTGTGTCTGCATTTAGGTCCTCCTTTAAATCTCCACCCCACTTGACACACACTACCAAATACAGCCCCTCTGAGATATGCAATGAGTGACTTGGTCATTCATTTCCGTTATGCAGGTTTTTATAATTGTTGCCTCAGCATTGTTTCTAAATCAGATTAAAATCCTTCCCAGATCTCCCTCAGAAAGATGTTTCTTATATCTTAATATCTAACAAGTTTAAACTGGGTCTCTGTAAACCATTAAGACCTTCTTAAGACATATTTTATTAACAGGAAATGACTCCTTCGTTAAATTGAGACATGATCCATGCCACAGGTCTACTCCACTGTTTTTTCCTTCCATGATAATAATTGAATGCACTGTTTATTAAAAAAAAAGTCTTTACATAGCCATCAGTTTTAAAATAACTATTCCAGAAAGATAATGGATGAAATTTTGTGTGGAAAGGAAAAAGTGAAAGGCCAGCAATCATTTGGATGTTCTGTTTAAATATAGTTCTGCACATTCCTAGGACAGTGTGACACTGTATGAGATTCAGGTTCCTTCCAGTTAGCATGATGAGCTGGTAATTAGAGAAGGAAATTAGGCAGTTAATGTTCCCGCACTGACCTGGTTTTCTGATCTAACAATAACTTTTCTCATCTGACCTCTCCTATCTCTATTCAACACTATTTTCATACTAAGTACATTTATGTCTTTTCCTGTTTTGCATGATGATGAATTGATGAACCATGCATGCAGTTTCTTAATTCAGGGTGCTTTCCAAAATGCACCTTTGTGATTTTTTTGATTTGAAAGCTATTTATTAAGTCTCCAGTTTGTGTTGCATCTAATTTTCTTTTGATCACATATAATTCATATCATATATTCACTCACTCAAAAAGTGGGAAATCATTATTTCATCTACTCACCATATGCTGAAATGTGTTTTTTTGTGGCTCAGACTTTCATCCTTTTATTATTTTAGATCATTTAAATCACTGACAAACTATGATAGTGGGATAAATAGTGTTCTGTTGTACATGGTATTTATTTTTTAACACCCTGTGAATTGACTTGTCATTAAAACAGGTTAATGGCATTGATCTACGAGGAGCAACACATGAACAGGCAGCAGCTGCCCTGAAGGGAGCCGGGCAGGTGGTCACCATCGTTGCTCAGTACAAACCGGAAGGTCAGTTGGAAAAGATGAAATTGCTCTTAAAAAATACTCACGTTTGCTTTGGGTTGGGGGTCTCATAATACTTATTTCATTATTTCTACATTTTGTACTCCCTTAATGATATCTTTTGGTGTTAGATTTAGACGGCTGACATGTGTCATGGTTGGGTTGAAGTTTTGAGGACTCAAATGCAGAGACAGTGAGGCAGTGGTGAATTTTGTAGATTTAATGGAGCAACTGAGGAAAAATCCAAAAATGCAAAAATAAAAAGAACCCAGAAAAAACAAAAACGTCAGGGAAAACTCACATAGAAGTCAGAGAGCAGGGAAACAACAAAGCACAACAAACCAGAACAGAGTGACTGCAGAGGTGAGGTATATATTGGAAGGCTGAACCAAGACAAGCTAATCAGCAGATCTGGAGCAGGTGTGAGTGGACTAAAATAAAGGGCACCAAGTGAGAAGGAAACAAACACAAGAGGGCAACAGAGAGCAGCACAACAACTAAACAACTCAGCACCGGTAGAACTACAAAGACAGAACACAAACAAACTAAAAATAAACCCAAGCAGAGGGCAGAACCCTGACAACATGTTGCCTGTAGATAACATCACCAGCAGATTTTGACTTTGACTAAAAAACGAATTGCCCATAAGTCAAACGCAATGATTTTTGAGAGAAAATAAAGCTTTTCTCAACTTTATTTATTGGTTTTAATTCAAAGCAAAAGATAAAGTTCTAAGCAGGGTTTTTTAGGCATAATATGACCACAACTCTGACAGACGTAGATAAAGACACATTAGTAAAAAAAAAACAGGACTTTCTCATTCCCGTCTCTTTTATGTCAATTGAAATAAATGGTCAAACTTCCCTTTATTCCTCGCCGTCTTTAGTACCATGACAATGTAGAGCTCGGACCAGAACTTTTTATGAGTTGGGGAGGGGGACAATGTCTATAGTTTTTTTTAACCTTGCTCTGTATTGTCTCCTGGGCTGTAGTTTGTTCACCTGCCAATGATGGTCTTAATTCTCATATTCGTATCAGTTTTGATCATTTGTTTCTGAGTTGCTTCTCCTAAGGGTCCCTTAGGAGCAAGAGATAAGCTAAATAGAGACAAGAGATCCTGAGGACATAAGGAGGTTGAGTTGAGAAAACCATTTAAGCATTAATTTAGAGGTACGATCAAGAAAAGAGATCTCACAAATGTATGTATCTGATCTCAATTATTTCTTGGTTCTTTTAAATCTGAATTAAAGAGAATAAGATGAGATAAATCTGAGAAATCAAATAGAGAGAGAGCCTGTTTATTTCTTACTGAACCACAACTGAAGGGTGCAATTGTTCACCTGTTCTTAACAATGCAGGGTTCATGTCTTTACAGAGGTTCTCTCATGTATATGTGCAAATAACAAGGATGAAGGTGTTTAAAAACAGTTCCCACAGCCACTAGGCTTATAGGCATTTTTCCACTGTAATTCTAGTAGTTGCAGCATAACCAGAGTCTTGGCCCAAATACGCCGGAAGTATGCCAGTCAAGCGGCTGTTTCACTCCAAAAAATTGACCTATCAGCCTAATTTTCAGTCTAACCTTGACCTTTTGAGAGTAACACCCTAATATGCTGAAATCCGCCAGTGAGTACCCTGCATACTAACATCACTGACAGAAAGCCTCCCCAATACCTCTTTCCCACTGGCCAAAAAACCATTTACACCCAGGAAGAATTAGCTTTTTAAGTGGCAGTGGAAACAGCTCACTGACGCCAAGGGTTACACTGGAAAAAATAAAAATGTTTTTTTTTAATAAGTGCATTTTTTCTTGAATTGAGGAAGTAAGAGATATTTTGCCAATGGAAAAACACAATTTACAATTAATATAAGAAAACACAATTGTCTTATTTCAAGTGCATATTCTCTATTTATCTTATTTTAAGAGTGAAAACACTCAATCCATTGGCAAGCTAACTAATTTTACTTACTAAAAATAAGAGTAAATACACTTTTCCTTCCTTCCTTCCTTCCTTCCTTCCTTCCTTCCTTCCTTCCTTCCTTCCTTCCTTCCTTCCTTCCTTCCTTCCTTCCTTCCTTCTTTCCTTCCTTCCTTCCTTCCACTAATATGCAAGGTAGGTAGAGGAGATTTTCATCTCATTAATTACCCTTGATGCAAGGACTCATTATGCCACTTAATTGTTTTTTATTTGGTGTGGTATGGAAGTAAATATGTGCCATCAGAATTTGAATAAAAAATACCTCTGAAATTTGAATGTTGTATATTAGTGCTTACTTTTTCAGTATAAAAATACATTCAGAATATATTTTTAACCTAAAAAAAATTCAATGTCATTATTTGTGCATTAAAAAAAAAATTCAGTGTAATTTTTTTTACATGGTTGCAATTTTCAGTTATTAAAGAAATTCACATTCCTGTTTCAAAGTGATCAAATTTTCAATATACATATTTTTCACAGTTTAAAATTTCAGTGATAAAAAATTCAGCATATAAAAAATTCAACTTTTCAAAATTCAAATGCAATATTTTCGTTGTCCTCCAATTCAACTTGCTCAAATTCACTGTCTCAAATTCAGCGTCTAAAAATTCGCTGTAAAAATGGCCATGGTTACTTCAGGTCACAGACATTAGCAATGGATGTCCGATTCCAACATCCACCTAATCACATGACACAACCGTCATATTGAAGAAGTACCAGTATCACCCAGGCTGGCGACCATGGAGGCGAACTCCATGCGAAGTTTAATGCTTTCATATTTCTGTAGTATATTTTATTTTGCACATGAAGTTTGATACATTATCTTAAAACCTGATTTAAAACACTGGTTTGGGCCGTTGTTAATCTTACACCGTGTAGTGCCGGCATATCACTTCTCGCTACCTCCGAGCACCCCCCCCCCCCCCCCCCCCGACCCAATTTCCCCCGTTTTATTTAAAAAAGAAATACCATTTCAGGAGATGCTACCGCTAATGTAGTAAGCTAATATGGCTGCCTTGTGTGCTTCAAAGAGGGGCTGTGAACAGTTCCGACCCCACTCTGATCAGCTACTGTATAGTTAGCTCGGAGGTAGCGAGAAGTAATATGCCGGCACTACACGGTGTAAGATTAACAACGGCCCAAACCAGTGTTTTAAATCAGGCTTTAAGATAATGTATCAAACTTCATGCGCAAAATAAAATATACTACAGAAATATGAAAGCATTAAACTCACCGTTGGGTTTGAGTTCGCCTCCATGGTCGCCAGCCTGGGTGATACTGGTACTTCTTCAATATGACGGTTGTGTCATGTGATTAGGTGGATGTTGGAATCGGACATCCATTGCTAATGTCTGTGACCTGAAGTAACCTTGGCCATTTTTACAGCGAATTTTTAGACGCTGAATTTGAGACAGTGAATTTGAGCAAGTTGAATTGGAGGACAATGAAAATATTGCATTTGAATTTTGAAAAGTTGAATTTTTTATATGCTGAATTTTTTAACACTGAAAATTTAAACAGTGAAAAATATGTATATTGAAAATTTGATCACTTTGAAACAGGAATGTGAATTTTTTTAATAACTGAAAATTGCAACCATGTAAAAAAAATTACACTGAATTTTTTTTTAATGTACAAATAATGACATTGAATTTTTTTTAGGTTAAAAATATATTCTGAATTTATTTTAATACTGAAAAAGTAAGCACTAATATACAACATTCAAATTTCAGAGGTATTTTATATTCAAATTCTGATGGCACATATTTACTTCCATAGTATGGGGGGGTGTAATATTTATGCTCTTCTTGAAATATATTGGAAGATAATGCACATATCTCAAATCTGTTTTTGCCTTGCAGAGTATGAGTGTTTTGAAGCCAAAATCAATGACCTCAGAGAACAGATGATGAACCATAGCTTGAGCTCTGGGTCAGGGTCTCTGCGAACTAATCAGAAGAAATCACTCTATGTAAGGTGAGTGGACTTAGATATAACCTCAAAACTTCTTATCTAAATAGGAGTTGGTCTATTGTTTTGAGTGCTGCTGCAGCAGAGAGGATCTGAGTTCAAATCGTGGTGTAGATTGTCTTTGGACGATAGTTCCCCAGTGTCTATAAAGGTGCATATTAGGTCAGTCGGCAAAAGGTAATTTTTAATAAGAGTGAACTCATTTTCTCATTAGATTAAGCATTTAATGACTTTCTGCTTTAAAGCTTAGATGCAACAATAACCCTGATCTTTTATGTATTTTCCCACTTTTAGGGCACTATTTGACTATGATAAAATGAAGGACAGTGGGCTACCAAGTCAGGGGCTCAGTTTCAAGTATGGTGATATCCTCCATGTTACTAATGCCTCAGACGATGAGTGGTGGCAAGCCTGCCGGGTCACTACCCATGGAGACAGTAAGGAAATAGGAGTCATTCCCAGTAAGAAAAGGTAATCCTAGGATACACTTCTGTTTAACATCAATAAAGGCAACAGTGACATCCCTTGTTTACTGCAGAAAGAATTACTCTCATGTGTCCTGCTTCTCTGATGAATCTACCCGGTTGGCCAATCACCCAGCTTGATACATTGGGGAGTGGTGACCTAGTGGTTAGGGCATAGAGCTTGGAATCCTGAGGTTGTGAGTTCAAAACCTGCTGCCACTCTGGCTCTCTGAGCAAGACTCCTAACCCACAGTGCTTCCTGGGTGCCCCACGGTGGCAGCCCACTGCTCCCAAAGGGGATGTGTGAAATGCAGAGGTACTGTTCTCCAACGTGAGACCGATAAAATTCTATTGATTATTTTCTTGACTCATACGAAATACTGACCTGTTTCAACTGATTAGCTTCATCTCATAGTAAAATCTGCACAACATTGTTTTTTTTTAACAGTATGAACTCTTCATGCAGCTTGTAAAAACTTTGCAGTGTTTCTGATTCTACTTAATCAACATGCTCTTCATTGCCCTACATCCACTCTATCTCCTTCTTTTTAGCTGTAATAGAACCATTTTTGCTCTTCTTTGTCCAATAAGCTCTCTTCAAGTTACCTTTATATGTGCTTTGGCTCCCTCTTGTGATCACCTGCATGTGGTTCATCTGGTGCACCAGCAAGCAATTACTAATTTTCCATTTATTCTAAACTTCAATTCGTCACTTCAAACAAACTTTGAAACATCCACAAGAAGCCTCCGTACTCCATGACATAAGAGGCTTTAACTTCTTCTGAATTTGTAAACTTTATCATTAGCATTAGCAGCACTTCTACTCACTGTGGCTTCCACACAGGCTTCCTCTTTTCAGCTTCCTTCTTTCTTTTGAATATCCTTACCTTGGGGGGCGGAGTAGTTTTGGCCTAATGTTATGGCAACAGATCCAGTATCTGTGTCATTCTCATTCTCATGGATAAGTAAAGGACGCATGAAAAACCATTAATTTTAACCCAGAATATCTTTATCCAAGAAATATGACATACAAAATATGACAGTACAATTTCTTTAAAAAAAAAAACATGCACAGTTAAAAACTGTATAACTCCATGCTGCGCAATCCTTCTGCAGTCTGTATCCATTTACAGAAAAAACTCAAAACTGGAAATAAGCCTTTCAACATTAAAGTAAACTTCACAATAAAGTACACCTGTACAGATGTTAACCTAACAACCAAAGACAAAAATTACAGAAAAAATGCACCACAAAAACATTTGAAATATTCCTATGACCAAAATATGTCTTGTTTATGGCTCTAACATTCCCTGAACTTCAATTCAATTCAGTTTATCTATATAGCGCCAATTTCACAACACATGTAATCTCAAGGCACTTTACAGTTCAACCAGATCATCCAGTCAGATTGACTCAAAGTTTTCTATCTAAGGAAAATCAGTTGATTGCATCGACTCATTGACTCTTCAGCAATCCCTCACACTAAGCATGCTTGTAGTGACAGTGGAGAGGAAAAACTCCCTTTTAACAGCAAGAAACCTCCAGCAGAACCAGGCTCAATGTGAGCACTCATCTGCCGAGGCCCATTTGGGTTCAAGGAGACAGAAGCAGAGATACAAAAAGCAGCTTTAAAAGGTGGCCCCTTACTTAGCTAACAACTATACTATTAACTGTATAAAATATGCATTATTTGTTGTTGTTGAAAAGTTTAAAGCACTCTTTTGCTATTAGATTTCCCATCCATCCATCCATCTTCCTCGGCTTATCCGGGGTCGGGTCGCGGGGGCAGCAGCTTAAGAAGGGAGGCCCAGACTTCCCTCTCCCCAGCCACTTCTTCCAGCTCTTCAGGAGGAACCCCAAGGCGTTCCCAGGCCAGCCGAGAAACATAGTCTCTCCAGCGTGTCCTGGGTCTTCCCCGGGGCCTCCCCCCGGTGGGACGTGCCCGGAACACCTCACCAGGGAGGCGTCCAGGAGGCATCCTAAACAGATGCCCAAGCCACCTCAACTGGCTCCTCTCGACGTGGAGGAGCAGCGGCTCTACTCCGAGTCCCTCCCGGGTGACCGAGCTTCTCACCCTATCTCTAAGGGAGAGCCCAGCCACCCTACGGAGGAAACCCATTTCGGCCGCTTGTATCCGCGATCTCGTTCTTTCGGTCATGACCCAGAGTTCATGACCATAGATGAGGGTAGGAACGTAGATCGACCGGTAAATCGAGAGCTTCACTTTTTGACTCAGCTCTCTCTTCACCACGACGGACCGGTACAGCGCCCGCTTCACGGCAGACGCTGCACCAATCCGCCTGTCGATCTCCCGCTCCCTTCTTCCCTCATTCGTGAACAAGATCCCAAGATACTTAAACTCCTCCACTTGGGGCAGGACACCCCCCCTGACCCGGAGAAGGCACTCTACCCTTTTCCGGCTCAAGACCATGGCCTTGGATTTGGAGGCACTGATCCCCATCCCGGCCGCTTCACACTCGGCTGCGAACCGATCCAGCGAGAGCTGCAGATCACGACCTAATGAAGCCAATAGGACCACATCATCTGCAAAAAGCAGAGACGCAATCCTAAGGCCACCAAAACGGATCCCCTCAACACCTTGGCTGTGCCTAGAAATTCTGTCCATGAAGGTGATGAACAGGATCGGTGACAAAGGGCAGCCCTGGCGGAGTCCAACTCTCACCGGAAACGAGCCCGACTTACTGCCGGCAATGCGGACCAGACTCTGACACCGGTCATACAGGGACCTGACAGCCCGTATCAAAGGGCCCGGCACCCCGTACTCCCAGAGAACCCCCCACAGGGGCCCCCGAGGAACACGGTCGAACGCCTTCTCCAAGTCCACAAAGCGCATGTAGACTGGTTGGGCGAACTCCCATGCACCCTCCAGGACCCTGCTGAGGGTGTAGAGCTGGTCCAGCGTTCCACGACCAGGACGGAAACCACACTGCTCTTCCTGAATCCGAGGTTTGACTATCCGACGGACCCTCCTCTCCAGCACCCCCGAATAGACCTTGCCGGGGAGGCTTAGATTTCCCAAGCTTTGAAAAACACATGGAGCACTGTTCAGCCAAAAAGTAAAACCTGCGAACCTGCTAAGACAAGACCTTCCACCTAAACTCTCAGGACAAACAAGGAAAGGACTGAACATACAGTGGCAGCCATTCATAACGGCCCTTCCCAGTCAAACGGCAACTGAATGGGAGCCCATTCCCTGCAACTCCCAGCAAAATCCCCTCCAACTTCAAGCCACTGGAGTGACCCCATCATTTTCCTGGGCGTGCATAATTTTTTTACTCTGACTCCACCCTTTCTCTGAATTGCAGGATCTGACCAGGAGATGGTGCTCATTTTTCAATCTTAATGTCCACAAATCATGACAGAATATTTTAGTACAAAGATTGATGTTTAAAAACGAACTGTAAGGGACCAACCAAGGACCAGCCAGGGACCAGCAAAGACTAACCTGACAACAGCCAGATGCATGTCTCGCTCCGCCCAGCTGGAGCGAGACATGCATCTGGCTGTTGTCAGGTTAAGCAAAGACCACCCAAGGACCCATCTAGGAAATTTTGAATGGCTAACACTGTAGATGCTGCCAATAGGCCAATGCCTTAAATGTATAGACGTCTGTATCTGTTTGCCAGAGCGTTCCAAATCTAATATTGATGTCAAATTTGTCCAATATGAATACTGGGATATATATCAGTCTGCCTCTTAAATCTCTTATATTAGAAAGCTCAGAGAAACAATTTCCTTCTATCCGCTGTTGTTCAAAGTTTATGCAACACTTCTGTTTTCATACTTGATGTTGTTGACTGTTCTTCTCTCTTTGACAAATATCAATTTATCAAGCATTTGCTATCATTCCACACTATAAAATAAGCATAAAAGTTCATTTCAGTTACCATTAATGTATACATACCTATGTTACACATAGACAGATTTTATTTGTCATTTTGTTTACACAAGTATAAGTGTAAAACAAAAAGAAATTTAGTTTGGAAACAGCTCACTGGACACTTTCCTCTTTCAAAAGTGCAGCCTTGAAAAATAGTAAAAATGACTGTAATTTTACAGTTCTAACAAATTTTTTTTAATATATATATAAATAAATAATGATAAAATATAATAAATATAATAATAAAATATAATACAATAACCCATTTCTACAAAACATTCAGCAGTCTAATGGCAGTAGGATAGAAGCTGCTGCAGAACCTGCTGGTCCTGCATTAAATGCTGTGAAGCCTCTTCCCAGAGGGCAGCAGGGAGAACAGTCCATGGTGGGGGGGTGAGGGGTCATTGATGATGTCACGGGCTCAGGACACGCAGTGCTGGGATGAAATGTCTTTAATGGAGGGAAGAGGAGCCCCCATGATCCTCTCTGCTGTTCTCACCTTCTTCCAGTCTGAGGCGCTGCAGCCTCCACGCCACACAGTGAGACAGCTGCTCAGAACGCTCTCTATGGTGCTTCTGGAGAAGGTGGGGAGGATGGGTGGGGGCAGGTGGGCTCTCCTCATCCTCCGCAGGAAGTCCAAGCGCTTCTGGGCCCTTTTGACCAATGAGGTGGTGTTTACATTCCAGGTGAGGGTGTCTGTGATGTGCACCCCCAGGAATTTGGTGCTGCTGACCACCTCTACTGCTGAGCTGTTGATGACCAGTGGATAGGTCATCAACATGGTGGTTAGGCCGGTTCTTCCTGAAGTCCAAGATGATCTCCTTGGTGTTCTCCACATTCAGGATCAGGCTGTTATCTCTGCACCAGTTCACCAGCTGCTCCACCTCCTCTCTGTAGTCCTGGTCATTGTTGTCTCTGATGAGGCCCACCACCGTGGTGTCGTCTGCAAACTAGACTGATGACATCAGAGGTGTTCTGTCCAACGCTCAGGTGGAGAGCAGCAGAGATGGCGTCCTTAGTGGAGGACATTCCGTCGGTAGGGGAACTAGAGTGGATCGAATGTTGAGGGGAGAAAGGAGACAACGTATTTTTTCTTACCAGCCTCTCAAAGTCTTTAATCATGGTGGGAGTCCGTACAACCGACTGGTAGTCATTAAATGAGGTGACCTGAGGCTTCTTTGGGACCGGAATGATCGAGGCTGATATGTCCCTACTGCATGTTAGCACTCGGGATTGGTCTAGTAATGTGTTACAGATGTCTGTCCGGACACCAGTCAGCTGACCTTCACACTCCTTGAGTACCTACCCAGGTATGTTGTCGGGACCTAGGGCCTTCCTTGGGTTCACTCTCCTCAGAGTCTTCCACACATCAGTTGTGTCAGGCACAGTGCCTCCTCTCCCTGATGGGGAACAGCTTTCAAAGCTAGAGTACTGTTTAGTGCCTCAAATCTTCCAAAGAAGTTGCTGGTCAAGATTCTCAGTCATCCAGGTCATAGTCATTCCAAAAAAGTAAAAAAAAAATCCCGCTAGACTCCAAGTTTGAAGACGTTTCACTTCCAAAGAAGTTGTTCCGTCCATTTAGGAAGTCAGCATCAGCTACACCCACTGGGGGGAGGGTGTGTTGCAGTCAGTAATTGCCGGTATGCCTTGCGACATCCTCCTCTTGTTGCTGGCATTGTATAAAAGGTCCTGCATTTTTCCGGCTGTGGTTCTGCTTTGCTGATCTGACTGTCCTCAGTACATCTCTGTCACCAGACTTGAAGGCTGAGTTCCATGCTTTTAGTGGTTGCTAAACCTCCCCAGTCATCCAGGCTCGTTGGTTGGCCCGGGTGGTAATGTTCTTTGTGGTGCTGACGTCCTCAATTCATTTGTTGATGTAGGCTGACACAGTCATGGCATACTCATCAATATTCCAGTCAGAGCAGTCAAAACAGTCTTGGAGTGCCCCCTCAGACCACACCCTGAACTGCTTCACTGTTGGTTTTGCTCTTATCAGCAGGGCCTTGTATGTATGTATGTATGTAGGAATTAGCATGACAGATTGGTGGTCTGAAGAGACAAGGTTGGGCGGGGGGCTGCTCTGAAAGCATCTTTGATGTTAGAATGTTCTGTCCTTGAGTTGCAAAGTCCACATGTTGGTAAAAATTAGGAAGAAGAGTCTTCAAATTAGCCTGGTTGAAATCCCCAGAAATGATGATTGCAGATGTGAGTGCAGTTTGAAGTTCAGAGATAATGTGACCCTTTCAGGCTAATGGTGTTGTCCAGTATGGATGAGTTAAGCCATGACTCGGTCAGGATGATATTGCAGTAGTTACTAAACTCCTTTTATGAATAGAGTTTGAGTTGTAAATTATCCATTTTGTTGTCCAGTGAGCAGATGTTGGAGAGCAGGATTGAAAGGATCAGCAGTTTGTAGGGGTTTGTAGCCCGCCTCTGCTCCTGCGTTTTCATTGTCGTTCACACCATCTTGCTCCTCCTTCAGGCGTGTGCTGCTCGACGGGTCTGCTGCTTTGTGGGCCTCTGGGGCATTTGCATGAGAAAACATTGGGAAAACATTAGTTGTGGCACACAACAGGCAGGTAATACAGGGGTTAAACAGACTCACACATCATCAATAACGATTATCCTAACATTATAAAGTAAGTTCAATGCTTCATCGTGTTTCTTCATGGTTAAAAGCTGTTCCTTAAAATGCTTCACAGAGTGGAGAGCTGTTAAATATCATGTCATATTTTTCTAGAATTTAAGCAGTTTTATTACGCTAAACTATATTTAATATGATTCTTTAAACCAGAAGCCACTTCATTGCAAAATCTTAAACCTTTGCAAACCAAAAAGCTAAGTCCGTGTGAGAAGCTTGTTGTAGATCAGGGGTGAGCAATTCCAGTTCCTGAGGGCTGCTATCCTGCAACTTTAAGATGTGCCTTTGGTTCACCTGGATCAAGTAATTATATGAGGAACTGGCTGCATATTGAGGAGGTAACTAAGCCATTGGATTAAAGTGTGTTGGACCACGGATGGATTTAAAAGTTGCAGAATTCCGTCCCCCAGGAACTGGAATTGCCCAAGCTGGTTATTTATGGTTAGCTTTTTTTTGCCTCTCCCCTCTGTTGACCAACTGTAAAATAGGAATGGGTGGACTACCAACATTGCTTTAGTGGCCATTGTTTAGTTGAAAAATTATATAGAAGCAGTGACATTCATCAACGACATAACTCAAATGATTTGTATATAGTTAATGACGAACATGGTTCTTTGCAGGGTGGAAAGGAAGGAGCGGGCACGTCTAAAAACTGTCAAATTTAACGCCGATACAGGAATGACTGAGTCAAAGCTGGTAAGTGTCTTTTTAAGACCTTAGACGAATTTTATCATTTTATAAATGAGATCCTTTATGAATCCCCAAATGTGTCTTTGTGTCAGAATTCATCTTTATAGATTCCCCTTGGACATTTGTTTGTCTTATTTTTTTTTTTTTGTACCATCTTATCTCAGGGAGACATTTTTCTTACTTTTATTTGGATTATACTGTTAAATATTTCTTCTATTGCTTTCTGCACAGCTGTATTTTGAGAAAAATTAACATATTAAATCATGTTAAAAAAACTTGTGTGGGACAACCTTGCCTTTAATGTCAGTGAGATGTCTTTGTGCGATCAAAATGCAATTCTACTCATGTTCCACTTTCAAGGCATGATCACTTCATTTAAATTTGCTTTTAATTTGCTTTTTTTGGCTTAGGGTACCATTTTGGTTTTTTCACATCTCTGGCATGGTTTTAAAGCTTGGCTTGTCTGTCAAATGGCAAAGAATTTATGAAATTATAGAAATGTCACAATAATAAAATTTGTAGAACGATGGGCTAGTTTAAAAAAAAAAATAAGAATGACATATACAGAAGCTTTATGTGTTCATTTCTTAGTTTTATGTCTTGGATTTTTTGTCTGTCACTTTTTTATACATATATATTTTTTATAAATATGAAAAAGAAAAAAAAACAGAATTTGTTGAAATTTTTTTGTCAAATTAAATCAAACAATCACACTAATAAACACACAAAAGGAGCATATTCAGTTAGTCCCAGTAAAAGCTGAGCCCATTGCTATGGCCAGGAGAGAAACAGGACAAAGCACTGACTGATCTGCCTCCAAATTTACTTTTAGATATTCTAAGAACCACTAGTTACAGCTACAATGTAGTTTGCCACCATTATTGTGGAACTGAATAGATGAATGACTGAATGTAGTGTTGCGCTATGTTCAAATCCTCTGACTTGAAAAAGTGCTATATACTATAAGTACAGGCCATTTATTTTTGAGAAATTGAGAATCAAATTTCTTTGCAAAGTGCACTCCAGATGTGCTGAGATTAGGGCTGAAACAATAATAGGATTAATCCCTATTATTATAATAACTGTCAACTAGTTCATAAATCGATTAATATTTAAAAGGTGTAGAGAATCTAAAATGTGCCTTTATCTGACAGAGCAAAACACCTGAGCTGTAAATAAACCAAAATTGTAAAAAAAAAAAAATTACACATTTTGCATTTAAGTTTAAAAAAAACATCAACTTTTTTGTCTGACAATCTGCTCTATCCAGAACTCCACGAGTGGACAGGTTTTAGTTTCACCTGGTTTAATTTAGTTAAAAGTCATCTTTAAGAAACATATGGCTATCTGATTATGAATCTGTTGGTGAACCTTTCTATTATTCGGTACGGATCCAATGAGCGATATTTCTCAAGTAGCATGCACAAAGGTGTAAGCGCTCAGAAAGGAAGAAACCTCTAGCAGAACCAGGCTCAGCGTGAGCGGGATCTGCCGAGGCCGACTGGGGTTCAAGGAGACAGAAGCAGACATACAGAAATAAGCATAGATACAAAAGGAACTTGTCAACCAGCCCCACAGGCGGCCTCATCCAGGAAACACATAGCCAGATAGACGAGCTCCGAGCCAGCTCCCATGTCAGAGGATGAAGAGAGCACATCCAGTTAGTCACAGTCAGAGAAACAGGACTACACTGGAAAACAAGCTGAGCTCCAACATCTAGAAACAAAGGTGTTGATGGCAGCAGCACAGCTGATATTTCTCTCCAGGATGGAGTCACAGCCAAACAGGAACAGACCAGATGAAGCTACTATGAGAAAAAGCAGAGAGAGCAGAACGTTAGAGATTGAACTAATAGATTCTGCAGAGTGGGAGAATAGAGATAGAATGAAGCAGAATGATGAAAAAGGGGTCCCTATGTCCTCCAGCAGTCTAAGCCTATAGCAGATTAGCTATAGAGATAGCTCAGGATAACCTGAGCCACTCTAACTATAAGCTTTATCAGAAAGGAAAGCTTTAAGCCTAGCCTTAAAAGTAGACAGGGTGTCTAATAAATCATAGTGTACCACCAGTCTATCATTCAGACAATCACTTTCTGTAGTATCATTTTTTATTGTTTTGTTGTCTTTTTATTTATTTTTTACAATATCCTACCTGTTTTGCTAAAATCATTCCTAAACTCGGCTGGATTTTCACAACTAATAAACAGAAGTTTTGTGGCGCTCCTGTTAAAGGAATAGTACACCCAAAACATGATTAGCCTTCATTTTCTACTCACCCCCATGCTGAACAACACCCTGGAGTACTTTTTGATATCTCAAATGCATCTGGAGATCTGGGAGGCTTCTTGCTGTCTGCTGACATTCAAATAATGGAGGTCTATGGTGACCGAGACAGAAAGGTCCATAAAACATCAAGAAGCACCATTAGTACTTCTTAAAAAACACATAATTGGATAAAATTGCCTTGGTGACTTTTGACCTCTATGCCTTTTAAGCAAACAAAACAGTTGCAACCTTCACCAAACATAAAAGGTTTTTAAAAAAAATCATATTTACAGATTTATCATATTGTATTTATTGTATTTGCATTTTCTGTTTCTATGGTGCGAATAAATAAGTTACAACTTGCTAAACATACAGGTCTCTGAAACACTTCCCAGCTCGGTTTTTTTGCTTTTTCAGATCATCAAACAAATTTCAATGAAGCAGTTTAGGAGGATTTCATATTATAATAAAAAAAAAAGATATCCAAACGTAACTGGTACTCTGGAAAAAAAGTAACTGCCTTGTTCATTTTATCCTGAATAAATGAATTTATTTACCTGAAGATGTGATAAATATTTTAAATATAAGCTTTCTGACAGCTGAGAAATCAAAATAAAAGAAACATCTTCGACTAAATGTAGCTAGACAAAGTCATAGACATCTTCCAGTCTTGAAAGTGATAAAAAGAGACTTTTCAAATGCAACTGAGAAAAGCAGATCATGAATACCAGCGCAGATTAGCAATGCAGCTATGGTGTTACTGTACAAAACAACCCAAAATTTTACAGCAAAGCAGCCTTCAAAATTCCTCATAAATTCTTTTATTTAAAGGAGAAGTCTGGTGAGGAAGGAATAATCAATGGATCATTATTTATACCTAAAACTAATATGTTCGTAGTGATTTAATAAATTAAGTATTAATCAATAAAAAACATATGGTTTTCGTGGCGATCACTGAGTGTGGGAGCAGCCATTTTTGCCCAGATGTAGTAGCCCCTCCCTCCTGCCATCTTCCAGCAGTGACGTCACGGTGCGGTAAGCCTAGCACCATTCTCCCCGCTTTACAAGCAGAATCAATGGGAACTACTAGACACATCTGCAATCAACAACAATTATTGAAGATTTCCAGAGGACTTCACCATTGAAATTCACCAGAGCTATAGTGAAACTGACAATGCCCCCGTGCATGGCAGCTGGATGTTGGAATACATCGGGTAAAAGTGAAAAAAAGAGTTATTCCACCTTTCTGATTCCTGATCCTCCACGGACAGGTTGGTCGTTGGATCGCCAACTTGAAGAGGGAGGATTTGCCATCGAACTTCTGGCCAGAGAAAAAAACCCGTAATATGTAGCCAACATTTGGAAGAAGAATGTTTTCAAGATGACTTGGATAATAGCGCGTTGTGACAAACACCAGATACAGCACTGGGACTTGATCAACAGCCGATACCGCACCGTGACGTCACAAACCAGTAGGTGGCAGTAGTGTTCTTTGACAAACATGGATGCCTCCAGTAAAGCACATTCACATGAAAATTACTCTGAATTAAAAACACTTATTAGTTATTGAACAGTTTGTAATAATTTCATATTTAAAGGACTTACCAAAGTTTGTATACCAAAGGGGACCAGACTTTTCCTTTAAAGATTAAAATGCTAGAGACTTGAATAAACTCCAGTGAATACTGAGGATAAACAGATAAGATAAAAGTAAAAGCTTTTGGAAGTTGAGTTTCATGTTATATCTTAGACTGATAGTGATTGTCATTCAAGTAGCATTATAGAATAAAATGTTTTTAGTTTTTTTTTTGTTGCATAGGTTCAGAAGAGGTGCAAAAATAAAACAGCAGCAGCATTTTGTGTAAAATAATTAGCAGAATTGCAACAAAACCTAAAATATTAGAATAGAAAAATTGTGTATGGAACGGACATTGTCACAAAAACTAACATAAAATATTTTGAATTTTCTTTTCTATCTGACATAATACCAACAGTTTGGTATTAGTCCTAAACATCATCTCTTTAAAAGATCCAGTGGTGTTTCACTGTGAAGGTTCTGAGCTGCTTTACTTCCCCAAAACCTGGACAACTTTTTGTAATTTCTGTAATAATGAATTTTGCTCAATTTAAAAGAACACTTGTAGCAGATTTATCAAGTTTGACTCCTCATGAAGTCTCACAGCTGTGGAAGATGCCAGGATTGTATGTGGGGGGTATAAACGTGAATTAAATGGCCTCTTCCCTCCAATGAAAAAGGAATACAGTAATTCCTATGCCAACACAGTGACACCGTATGTGCATGGCTGCAGCTTTGTGCACAAACATTTGCTATTTTATTAAAAATTCATCTATTCATTCAAATAAAAGTCTTTTTTTAAAAGCACCTTCTTACATTTGGACAGGTTTGGAGATGCTGGTGACAGCAAACATTCAAAGCCCCACAGCTCTGGAACTATTGTAGCCAGAGGTCTGAAATTTTCTGCATTATTTGTGATTGACATGATGTAGAACAAATGTAATACAAGGAGACATACCTATTCTCAAGCATGTCTTTATTACTGCTGTTCAAGAAAAACCTATTATCGAAAAAACTATTTTTCAATAATAAAATAAACAACTTTGAGTCATGTTTGAACTGATGTAGCTTAGGCTGTGTTTTACTCACCCAATTTTCATTTATATTTTCAGAAACTAGAAGATGTTAGCTTTCAATGATTTATCACACATATAATGTGGCCTTACAGTTCCTTAGTAATTTGCTTTTCTATTTGAGTATGCAAAACCGATTAGATTGGGTGGGTGTTTAATGCTCAGGGGCCGGTTTGGGATTGGGCCGTTGGCTCTGCAGTAGAACAACAATCAGAGCAGCATGGTCGCCACATGGCTGAAAATATAAGGTTATAGCCAGATACAAAAAAATAAAAAATAAAAAAGACACGCCTTTCATTATCAGAAAATAACTTTGCCCAGAAAATTGGCTAAGCTTGATGAAAAGTGCCTCTGGTGAGGTTTGTTGTGTTTTTGTTAACACATTTTCAAAATGGTAAAAAAAAAAAAAAAATCATCATTAAAAATATGTGATTGAAAACACCTAAAAAACGATATATATATACAAGATAAACTTCAAATATTTAATTAAATATTATCAATAAATATATATTTTTTACTGCAGTCAAATCTCAATTAATTTAACCAAAGATTTTTATTTGTTTCATTATTTGTAATAAAAGTCTGCTTTTAGAAGCAGAAAAATGAAACCCCTTAGTAGGTCTTCTCTGTGATAATTTTGTTTATTAATAAATAAAGTGTGCCTGTAGTTAAATATCAGTATAAATTTAAGCCACCTGCCTGATTTTTCCTTAATTACATCCTGCAGTTAGAAATAGTGGTTTTCCACAGGTGATCTGCAAGCAACTCAAACTCATGCATTTACCAGGGCTGGGCGTTAGGAATTAAAAATATGATCTATTCACCGAAGCTTATTCATCCCATTTTTTTTCTCGCTTATGTTTCATAATAAAATCACATATATTGCATTCAGAAATTTTATTTGATTTCATTCGTCCCCTCTGGGACGTGACCTTAAGTTAAAGGGCAACAAAATTCCAGCTGTAAAAACTATTTGTAAAACAATCATGTTTCCCAAAAAAGAAGATATAACACATTTAATGTTTGCAGCTAGTGGTATTACACAATCAGCTAGTTTATCAGTTATGAGTATCTATCCAAGAACAAAAGGGGATGAACTGATGTTGCTCTAGTAAAAATCCTGTAAAAACTTTAGTCTCTGATTATTTCTGATGAACAGGGCAAATTGGGCACATAGTTATGGACAGAAAAATGAAAAAAAAAAAGAGTAAAAGAATGGGACATCTATTATATAACCTGCATTAGTGATGCTGCAGGATATACACTTTGTTTAAGAAATAATCATAAGCATAAAAGCAATTTAATGAAGTGTAATTTTTGCCTCTACTTACTTCAACACTTTACTCCCACCTGAACCATAGTAATTTACTCACCAGATTGTCTTTTACAATCGGCTCCACCTGTCAGCCTACTGTTCTGCATATGCTGCCAGTGAATTTATGGCACCTCTAAATCCAAAAGAAGCAAAGTTTTTAAAACAACTTGATGTCCCCGTTCTTGCATGCTGCAAAAACCATGTAGAAATAAGTAACTTTCTCTTAAATTAGGTGTATTTAACCTTAATTTGAGTAGGTAAATAAGATGATTTGCCAATGGAATGCAGATTTTTACTCTTAAAATAAAATTATTAGATAATTTGCACTTGGAATAAGATTGTGTATATTGTCTTGTTCCATTGGCAACATGTCTCACTTTTTCCTCCTCATTTAAAAAATGCACCTATTTTAAGAAAAAAACAACTTATTTAGAATTACATTTTTGCAGTGCAAACATCTGCTTTGTCTGCATGAAGCTGACAGTCATGCCTGCATGCCACATGTTTTCCTTTTCAGTCATTCACTGACAAGCAAAAAAAGCACTTCACCTTTACCCGAAAACCCCCATTCTACAAAAACAAAGAGGGTCAGCAAGATGGCAGCGATGTACAGCGTAAGTAGGCTCAGACACACAAGCACCTCCACACAGGTTCAGTGTAGTCTTTATCTCCTTCGTCCGTTTAATCCTTGCAGTGAGAAAAACCGCTTAAACTCTTGGTCTTGTTTTTTTATTGCTGATCATTTTCCATGTTTGCTATAACAGACTGATCATTGTGATCATCTTTATTTTTCTCCCATATGTTGACAGGCCACCTACTTTCCACCGAGCCTTCGTTAAGATTTAGTTCCATTTGGCCAATGATCTTGTATTGTATGTGGATTCCCTGTCAGCTACATGTATTATTTATTACAGGAGTAGATTTGCAGGAGCAGTGCTTCCAACATTTTGAAAATGCTGCAGCTTTCCCCTCTCTTTTTTATTTTCTTCTCCGGATCTTTTTGGATGATCGATAGGACATCGTTGGAATATGTGATGATGGGTATGGGACCAGAACATTAAGTAAGTTGGTTCAGAGAGGATATCTCACTTATGTTCAGCAGAACCACCCTACCGAGCGTACTGAACATATATCGTCCATCCAACCATCCATCCATCCATCCATCCATCCATCCATCCATCATGGCTCTCAGACATATATTGTATAGTCCTAATTATTTTTTTTAAGTGTATGTATGAGCAAGTTAAGGTTTATACCATGGTAAGCTGACCCTTAATGGATTATGGGGCAATATGACACTATATACTACTAGTACATCACTTCTCTAATTGAATGTTTTATCCTGATTGATCAATTCATGTCATTCTCTGTCTGTTACATCATTTTTATAAGATTTTCAGCACCTTTCTCTGTATTATGCTCTATATGTCTAACCATTGTTTCCTAAGAGATGTTTTTCTGTTTTATTGGATAGGTTGTTCCTTGTGTTTTCCCCGTGTATGCCCCTTTAATCACTCTCTGCTCCACCTGTGCGCTGCTCTATTGAAGTAGTCGGGTTACTTTTGTTCTTCACTGAATCCTCTACTTTTGTCTACTGTGTCCAGTCCAAATTTATGCGCTTTTGCAAACTCATTTTATTAAAGTCATCAACTCAACATGCTTCTTCCTAGTTTCTGTCTGTACTTTGGTCTGGAACTAAAAAAAAAAAGGGTTAATCTACGGTCATTTGGGTCCCTGTCTGGGTTGTTACCCACACCCAATCAGAACCCATCTCCAGTTCAATTCAGTTCAATTTAATTTATATAGCAATTCACAACACTTCCTCTCAAGACACTTTGCAATTCAACCAGATCATCCAGTCAAATTGGTTCAAAAGTTTCTATCTAAGAAAAACTGTCATGGTGCAGGACAGAAGGACCCAGTATCCAAGGCGAGACAAACAGTGGGTTAACTCAGAGTTTATGAAAATCAAGATCGGGCTTTGGATCCACAGTATCAGCGGCTACCGCCCATCACTGGAAACTCTGATTAGTGACCATGATAATCTGACGGTTGATTATCCATTCAAGTCACTAACCTGGTTTAACAGTCCATCTCTTCAGAAAACGAGGTAGTATTCAGCCGGTGGGTTGCCAATGAGATGTGGCAAGACCGCCCAGAGTGTCCCAGATGCTGCAGCCCCAGAGAACATGCAGTAATGAGAGCAGGTCAGGGATACCGATCGAAACAAGAACAGGCTGGCTCAGGGTTCCAGGACCCCATAGGTAGTGCAGGCAGAAAATTCACATGGGAACAGCCAGGTACAGTGGTCGAGAGGCAGAATAGGTCAGGATATCAGGAACACTACAGAACGCTAAAAAAAAAACGCTCTCTCCACTGAGCCAAGACAGGAACAGGACACGTTCAGTGGATAAGAGACAGATCAGGATCATGAAATTAGAAACACTACCAAACCCTCTTTCACCTGGCCCCTGAGAACGAGAACATGAACAAGAGCATCAGTGTCAAAAATCTTGCCATGATGGCTGGGACTGAGCCGTATGAATAGAAGCAGCAGGTGGATTAAATGAGCAGTAATGAACAACCGTGAAGATTTAGACAGTTGAATGGAGTGAGCAATTAGGCCAGCTGTCAAACTGTTTGTTTGATGATCCAAGATCATGACAAAAAACACTTGATTGCATAGACTCATTGACTAAAGCATCCTTCACAGCTTATCAACAGTGTATCTCAGCATGACAGCTTCTTTTTAATGGCAGCACATCTAAATACAGTCTGTCTCTGCAGCGCAGATTGCTGCCTTTTCCTTCTCACCACAGGGTCCACCAATGTCAAACCCTCTAGTTCTGCACCAGATGGATCTTGCAAGTCTAAATTTGAATAATGCACTTTTACAGCTACTGGACACTGCAATTCGACAGCAGTGCTTTTTTATACAGCAGCATCAGAACCTTCCAGGTTTGTTGCTGAACCACCCATTGCTGCTGTCACAGTCATTGGCCTAGCTCTGCAGTTTAGTCTCACAATTTCAATTGTACGACGTAAGCGTAGCAAAGTACTGTTTCAGTGACTACAAGATGCTAACAGTCTCCCCTGGAGATGGTTTATCTTGGGTTATAGGCTGAAGTCCTGCTTGGAGGAATGGGGAAATTCTTCCTTTTATGTGACATTAAAGGAGCAATGGGGAAAATGATTTTGTCTACCAGAGAACTGTGGCAGAGATCATCACTTTCAGGTCCAAGCAGTGATCTGTAGCCAACGAGGGCCCTGTCATTATTTTAACTGATGCTATATCCAAAGGGCAACATGGTGTCTTGCTCTGAGGGTCTTCCCAGGACCTCTGCTCTTATCTTGAATGGGTTTAACAACAACGCAGCTTCTTTCTTTGAGGGTCTCAACAACCACTTCTGTTTTTCTGACACCTCAGATGCTGTCTCTAATGCCTCTGCTTGTGTCACTAAGCGAATTTACAAAACCTCTGCCTCTGAGGGTCCTCAAGACTCCTCTGCCTCTGATAGTGAGGCTAAGGCTTCTGCCTATGATGGCTCTGTCTCTGAGGGTCAGCCCAATGCCTCTGCATCTGCCTCAGGTCCACCTGACACCTTCCGCTTGCCTAAGTCATCCATGTGCTGCAGGACCAGTCACAAGGTCTCTATCACCATTGACATCCCTGCAAACCCAGTTCCTCTGTCTGTATCAGAGTTGGCTGATCTCTCTCTGAAGGGCCCTATAAGTTTCTTCATCATCATCATTCACATCATCTATGCTCCTGGCTCTGTCATCATCATCCCCATGTCATTATCATCATCATATGATGATGATGATAACCTGAGTTCCAGGAGCCCTTCTAGGATAAGCCGACTCATTTTCATGTACCTGAGCGAATCCAAGTTGACCCACATCCTGTCCTAATTCCTGAGTTGTCTCATAAGGGAGTCCTGGCATCTGTCTGCAAATTGGTTCAAACAATCAAACCCTTACAATTAAAAATGGCGAATGAATTCTGAAGGGAATAATTGTTTAGGTTTATTAAATACACTGAAGATATTGGTGGCTGTAGGTATCAAAATACCATTTTTCTAGGATCGATAAAGAAATTACCAAAGGGTGTCAATATTCTTCATTTTATGGAAACAAAATAAACTTTAGAAGTAATTCCAGAACAGATCTGGTCTTCTTTTTTTGCTCCCTGAGTGTCTTTAGGCCATGTATTCTGATGCTGCTACTCCAATGGCAAATGGCAGAATATCACACTCTCCACAACAACTTATAGAAGCTGTTGAAAACACTGAAGGACATTAACCTTCTCAAAGCTCAGTCTGCTCACTATGTTCTTGTAAATGGCTTCACAGTTGTGTCTCCAGTCCTGTTTGTTGTATAGGTCAACTCAAAGGTATTTATGCTGCCCTACCACGTAAACTTTTTCTCCCATGATAGAACAAGTCTTTCACCTGTTACTTTTTTCTCATTAAATATAGTTGTTCTCCTTGCTTTATTCATATTGAAGATAAAATTCTTCTTCACACAAAGGCCATAAACTGATCCGCTGGTTGCCTTAGCCGTTAATGCTTCTTTTCCATCTCTGATTCAACCCATGACAACAGAACCATTCGAGTATTTTTGCAGATTACTAGTCTGTTTTTTACGGGAAGCGCGAGTGGGTACAAAGTAATAGTAAGAGTACAGTGTCGTGTGGTGCTCCTGACTACCTGGTTAGGCAGTTGACTCTTTAGTTTCTAACTTGTTTCTGTTTGTCGAGTATTCCAAAAAATAAAAACACTGGACTTTGTTTTCCAAGCTTAAAGACATTTCTCTTCCAATCCAGGAAGCTTTTTCAATTCAAAATGTCTGAATTAGTAGTAAGTTCCAAGCTTTATAGAGAAGCCCAACAAAGCATTGTTTTGGCATAGAAATCATACAAATTGAACTGGAATAACGGGTCCACCCCTTAGTAATGGGGAGTCGTTTGGGTTCTTTGTTTGGCTGCAATAACCCGCTATGGGCCTATACATCTGAAAATGGGGAGTCATTAGGGCCATTGTCGGCTTGGTAGACCAGGTGAGATGTCTTGGTCCCCGAAACGGCGATGAGGATTATGATAGCGGGAAGGAATCAACTCTATCGCTGCGTTGTAGGATTTTGAGAGCTGAAATGTGACTTCAACCCCTCTGTTTAAGGTTGTTTTTTCTTTCTTAACATAAATGTTTTCCTTCACCCCCCTTTCGAACCACCTGTCTTCTTTGTTCAAAATGTGAACATTCTGGTCATCAAAACAATTTCCTTTGTCCATAAGGTGTAGATGTACTGCCAGGTCTTGTCCTGAGGAGGGCGCTCTCCTATGTTGAGCCATGAACCTGTGGAGAGCTTGTTTGGTTTCTCCAATATAAAAATCAGAGCATTCCTCACTGCACTGAACTGCATACACTGCATATACCACTACCAGTGTATTTCAGCCCACGGAAAAGTTTTTGCATTTGGTTTGAATTTCAATTTTTTTCTGTTCTTTTTTGTGTTTCTTTGATATTTTCAAAATGAAGGGACATTTTAAATGTAGTTCTTATAGTTTGAAATTTAAGAAATTATATTTATTTGACTTAATTTACAAAAGTTCAACATTTTCGTTCTAATATTTTCTATCTGTATCTCTCCAGGAAGTCAAGAGGATGTAGGTCTCTCATATGAATCTGTTTTACGCCAAGAAAGTAAGTTCACTGAATAACAAAGAGAAGAAAACAATAACCAGAGGAAAATTCATTGAGGACATAACTGGGAAAAAGGGGATGTCTGGTCAAGCTATAAAACAGCCCTGTCAGTTAAACCCAGTTTGGCAATCCAGTTGTTGACTGAGGAAATTCTCAATCATTAAACTCTCATCTTCTGTTTTCTTTTTTGTATTACTATTGGAGTTATTGCAGTCTTCCTGTCATCACTGCATTATTTCCTCCACCTGCAGACCCAAGGTGCCTATTAACTGGCCACACCAAAACCATCAATGATGCCTCACTCAAAATGCATCCCCAAATGAAATCAATTGCTGTTTGTTGACCCTTTGGCTTACATGCTAGAGCTTTGTGTCTTTATGAAGAAGACATGCTAAAAGTTTAATTTCTGCACTCAAAACTCCTTTAATTGTATTCACAATGTAGCTTTTAAGTGTTTGAACACAAAACAATTGCAAGATCTCTTTGTGACACCATTTGGAGTCTCAAAATGGAACCTTCGGGAAACCAGTCTATTTCACAAAGCGGGTTTAATTAAAACTCTACCTTGTTAACCATGAAAGGAGGGAAACTCAAGAGTTTTCAGCTTCATGAAGAGAGGTTTGTCAAACTATGTGTAGCCACCAGTAACACTAACACTAGTGAGCGCTACAACCAACCGCTTCATTATCATCACAATAAATTGTCATTATTAGTGGTTATCAGTCCCACAGAATGACTTCAGTGCCAGCAGTAGTGTAATGGTCCCTGGACAAGTGGGTATACATGTACTGTTTTTAATGCCCAGAAACAATGACATGTAAGACCGCTCGATCTACACTACCGTTCAAAAGTTTGGGGTCACATTGAAATGTCCTTATTTTTGAAGGCAAAGCACTGTACTTTTCAATGAAGATAACTTTAAACTAGTCTTAACTTTAAATAAATACACTCTATACATTACTAATGTGGTAAATTACTATTCTAGTTGTGAATGTCTGGTTTTTGGTGCAATATCTACATAGGTGAATAGAGGCCCATTTCCAGCAACTATCACTCCAGTGTTCTAATGGTACAATGTGTTTGCTCATTGGCTCAGAAGGCCAATTGATGATTAGAAAACCCTTGTGCAATCATGTTCACACATCTGAAAACAGTTTAGCTCGTTACAGAAGCTACAAAACTGACCTTCCTTTGAGCAGATTGAGTTTCTGGAGCATCACATTTGTGGGGTCAATTAAATGCTCAAAATGGCCAGAAAAAGAGAACTTTCATCTGAAACAGTCTCTTCTTAGTCTTAGAAAAGAAGGCTATTCCATGCGAGAAATTGCTAAGAAATTGAAGATTTCCTACGTCGGTGTGTACTACTCCCTTCAGAGGACAGCACAAACATTACTTTGCCATTGCTACCACTGTGCTTCCCCACCCTGATGTTTATACTGGTCTTTTGTTTTGTTTTTGCCTCTCAAAGACAGTCCATGTTGGGAAAACTGTTTTAACCCTATGTAAGCGGGATTTCAAAAACAAGGGCTGATTTTTATTTTCTGACAGTTCAATAAAAGTACAGAACATTTAATTTCATGGAAGACGGATGAAATGGTAAGTCTGCTTAGATTTAAGGATATGTAACAGGAGCAAACTCTTTTTGTTTTTTTTTCCTCTTCAGTTAATTATGCCAGACCAGTCATAATTCTTGGACCCCTGAAGGACAAAATCAATGAAGATCTGATTGCAGAGTTTCCAAGCAAGTTTGGTTCTTGTGTTCCACGTAAGTTGCCATTACAAATGAGGTCTTACAGCTGGCAGTGAACAGACAAGCAGTAATTAGTAATTGAGTTATTGCGTTTTATGTGTTTATGTAATGCAGAAAGCTTGAATTTTTAATTTATCTTAACTTGGTTCCAGCCTGGGAGACATTCGATTTCCAGTTTTGCAGATTAAGCTCTAGGAATTGATGTCCTAGAGCAGGGGTCTGCAACCTGCGGCGCCAGAGCCACTCTTTGGACCCCCTACAGCGGCTCTTAATAGTGGCTAAAATATATATAAAGAGCTAAATAATGTACTAGTCTTAAATGTTTTCTTAAACACAAGATGGAAACAAATGACATTAAAAGAACCAGAAATATGTTTTTAGAAGCATTTTTCTTTGAATTAGCTTGGAATTTATGTGTTCAATATTAGTTTAAAAGCTAAAAAATACATAATTTGTTGGCAACTAATTTCCCATATGAGATATAAAAAAAAAATAGGCTTTTTTTTTTTTTAAAGTCAGGTTATATTTTCAGGCCCTAAACAACTTTTACTTGGTCGGATTCGGGGCTAAATGGCTCTTGGGATATGAAAGGTTGCAAACTCCTGTCCTAGCTCATTATAGTTGTTTTCACAATGTATTAATCATGGAGTGGGTTTATGTATGAATCTTTATTGGAAAGGCTTAAGGCAATAAAAATATATGCAACGGACACATTAGACAGAAAGAGGGGGTTAGAAAGGGAGAGGGAATAAGAATTAAGGGGGAAGAGAGGGAGATCAACGAAGAGAAAAAAAGTTGGTGAGAAAAAGAGAATAAGCAACACATAAACTATACAGTAGCTTCAGGAAGTTGCCTCCGCACCTGAAACCTTAAAAATATTCCTCCAACAAGTGACTTCTAAAAAGCATTTCCCTCCACTGTTCCAGACAAGCCTGGGATGTTGCTTTTAAACTCACTGTTTGATTCCCTTATTTTGGATGGTTCCAGTGGCGGATCTAGAAAATTTTACATGGGGGGGCAAAGGGGTGGCAAGAGGTCTTGGCAGGGTGGCAGAAGTAGACGGTACATGGGAATCCTTATATGTGAGCTGCTTTAACCAAATAAACACAAAACACTTTTAAACTACAGTAGTTGTTGTTTAATCATGCCCTTACACACTACAAAGTTTTTCTTTTAAATTCACAACAGAATAAGCAAAGTGCAGTGATCGAACAAAAAAAACCTGCATCTTTTAAAAAGTAAAAGTCTAACAAGCAAAATCCCTTTAATGTATTTGTTATAATAATTGTGTCCAAGATGCAGTGGACTACAAGTATGAAACAGCGGACAATACTCTACCTAAAAACTTATGCCCTGAAACCACAAATGACCCATGGTCAGCCATTTCTTTAAGAAAGCTTAAGGCGACGGTTGTTGTGCTTAGCAGCAAAACGTTTTACAAACTTATCTAAATCTGGTGCTTTTGCACGCTGTTTCTCAATACTGAGAACAGCCAGATTTCTCAAACAGGCATCTGCCATGGTTGAGCGCAGGTGAGTTTTTACAAGCTTTAAAGTGGAAAAGCTTCGCTCACACCCAGCAGTACTAACTGGCAAAACAATAGCAATCTTGCACAGGCGAAAAAATTCAAAGAAAACCTCTTTAAAAGGCACCAAGAATGTCACAAACTCCGTCAGACTGGACGGGTTTACTTTGCCGTTTGCTCTGCTTCTTTCAAGAAGTCTTTTTGCCTGGTGTATCTCAGTTTTTAAGTCTTGCCAGTCAGAGTCGTATTCCTCAGCCACTAACAAAACTAATTCTTCCTTTAAAAAGTCATTGTTGGATGGGTTTAAAGCTTTTATACCCCTCATAATTTTACTACTAGAGTTAGAAAAGCGCCTGTCCACTTCACTGATCATTGAGTCTATGATGGGAATGAATATACCTATTCTAAAGGCATCTTTGCTGTCAATGTGTGTTTGCTGTCCAAGTGTAGATGTTACAAGAGTATCATGTAGTATCCTAGATGTGTGTTTGGTTCTTTTGGATTTGACATTAGTAGAAATGTTACAACCATTGCATGTGTCAATTGCTGTACTCCACAGGTCATTAAAGCTCTCCTCTTTACGATAATCTTCCAATGTCTGTCTGAGGGTTTCAGTAAGGTCAGCTGCTTTGAAATTAAAATCCATTTGAGAACGAAGTCCTCTTGCGTCTACAGCTCTCTGTGGATTAGCCTCATCCGAAATTTCATCCAGCACTCTTATTACTGCAGGCAGCCTGTCCATAAGGTTTCTACATGCAGCATAGCGACAGGCCCATCTAGTGTCACTTAGCCTAGGAAGTTCTCGTGGTGGCACACCACTGAACATTTCTTTTTGAACATCCATCCACTTAATGTGAACATATGAGCCTGACATGAATGTGTACAGTCTTTCCAGCAAAGTGAAAAAACATGCAGCTTCTGGGACATTTTTTACACTGTCCACAATGACAAGATTCAAACAATGTGCCCTGCAGTGAACATAAAATGCATGTTTGGCAACTTCTTTAACCCTTGTTTGGACCCCAGAGCACCTGCCACTCATGACTGCAGCCCCATCATAGCCTTGGCCTACCAGATTCTCTTTGTATTCCAGTCCATACTTTTCTAGACATGAAATAATTTTCTCTGTCAAACTTACTGCGTGCTCTAAATTCTGGTACTCAAGGAAGCTCTCCTGAACCACACCATTGTAATAATATCGTACGACCAGAGATAGCTGCTCCTTTTTTTGAATGTCTTTAGTCTCATCAGCTAAAATAGAAAAGTGCTCACTTTCTTTAACCTCTTTTATAATTTCCTCTCTCACCATTTCTGCTAAACACTCCAACATCTCATTTTGTGTGCTTTTGCTTGTGTATTTAGCGTTTCTGGGACCCTGACACAGCCGCTTTTTCACTAAGGCATCATGTTTACTCACAAGATCTAAAATCTCAAGGAAATTTCCTCTGTTTTTTGAGTTTTCTGATTCATCATGGCCACGTTGGGAAATATTCTGAGTGGCTGTCAACAGCAAGGTTTCAGCTAAAGTTTTGATATACTTTTGATTTTCGATTACTTGTTTCTGATTTTCATCTCCCATCATTCCCAAGACAGTTGTGTTTTTCTTGGCCATTCTTTTAAACTCACTCCATGCAATCATTGCATTCACATGTGTGTCTGCTCTGGAATGTATACTAAACCCACTGTCTTTGGAAGTGGCCTTCTTCCAGTTAGAATAGCCATTTTCTGAAGTGAATACACTGTTTTTCAAATGTGCAAAATGTCTGCATGCAAAGCAGAATGCTGCATCTTTAGACATGGAATATTCAAGCCATGGCCAAGAACTGTACCACTCCCTGTGGAAGCTTCTTTTTGCTGCTCCATGTTGTGTCTTTGGAAATGTCTTTAAATCAGGCTGCACTGCTGCATCACCTTTGCATTTTGATATATCTTAAAAAACAGAGTGCCAAATATGATTATCTAATGCAATTGAACAGTACATGGACATAGCTAATGCCTATGTGGCATTACATATATTATCCCTCTGTATGGCAATTTATATAGAAGAAGAATAAAAACATACCATGTGGTCCAGGGAGAATTTCAGGTCTACCCTCTTCCTCTCTGTCATCTTCCTCCTCCTCCTGATCATTCCCTGCGTCTGTTCCTCTCTCTGAATCTGGAGCCTCCTCTTCATCTCTCACTGATTCTTCTTTTTCCTCAGCTCCTGCACTTATTTCCTCATTTCCTTCACTCATTTCTGTGTCTCCTTCATGTATTTCCTCTTCTTCGTCACTTATTTCTGTGTCTCCTTCAGTCTTTTCCTGCACTGACCCTCCTGGGCTCTCCAGTTTACTGCCTTCTCCCTCATTTCACTTGCGCTCTTCCTCTTGTGTACTTGTTGGAATTTTCTTTGCAAAAAAGCTGGTTATATCCCCACTTTTAGCCTTCCTTTTCATGGCTATGAAGTAATATTTGCATGCAAAAGTCAATATGTGAAAACCTCTGGTTATCCTTGTATTTCATTAGCCTACACTGTAGGGCCATGGAACTTATAAGTTAAGTAGCATATACTACAATACCTATAAATATATATATATATATATATATATATATATATATATATATATATATATATATATATATATATATATAGGTATTGTAGTATAGCCTATATAACAAATATAAATGAGTAAGATTTATCACATTCACACACCACTTATGTTTAGACTACTTATTTCTATTGTATTTGTTATTTCCCCAGTTATAACCTGGTTTCATTGCTGCGATATCTGAGAGGAATTGGATTTATAGGACTGCTCAGCTAATCAAATCAACACTGTAGCCTGCGTGTTGTAACGTAACGGCGGCATAACGGTTAACATCAGTAAATCAGTTAACGTTATGGATACAAAAAATATTTTGTATTTTTTTATTAAGCTCTTTTTTTCTTTACATTAATCAAAGGGAAGAGTGCTCTTACAAATCCCGAGGGAAGGATTTGACCGACACACTCGCTGTTTTTGCTAATCGTCTTTAGCAGATATTGACTACAAATGTAACTTTTAAGTGAAACGTGTGTTTAAACTACACCTGGTAAAAGTCACTTCACCTTCAGATGCCCTGGGACAGCTCAGTCTCTCCAGTTGGTTTGCACACTACAGAGCCACCGCGACGCTGCAGACTGTGTGTGTCAGACAGACTGAGCGCGAACTGCGCTCTGCACGTTTGAATCAGGGGCGTAGCTAAGTATTTGAGGGACGGTGGCAAATAATACATTAAAAATAAAAAAACTAAAGTGCAACCTTTTGGTAAATGTATTGTTTTGAGAAGCCTGTGAACATAGTGGCAGGTTGTTTTTACAGGTACAGCTTTTGGATCATCAAAGTTAGGGGGGCAGCTGGGGGGGCAAGGCTCTATATTGGGGGGTCAGCTGCCCCCCCTTGCCCCCCTGTAGATCCGCCCATGGATGGTTCAACAGCTGGCTGGAGGAAAGCATAGATATCTTCTAAAAGGGAAGACAGTTTAAGTCTTTCAAATCAACTAGTGATACAAAGATCGCATAGTCGTATGTTCTTCTTGGTTTGTCAGGTTTTTATTAACTTCATTGCAAGCTATATAGATGCTGATCAGATAGCCTGGTTTCTCTGTGCTTCAAAAGTTTTTAAGCAAGTTTTATTTTTGCATGTTTTTATTTATAACATTTTCATTTCATCTCATTCTTGTAACCAACAAAGCTGCTAACAGTTCAGGGTCTAAAGGTAAGTGAGCAGGAAAATAAATTTTAACTCTGTTAATCCTGAAATTCCTCATTTTTAAAACAGCTCCAGAATTCAAAGTTTTTATGAATTCAATTTTATTGATTCCAAGGAGCAGAGAGGGAGTTCAGATTGGAATGTACCGAGACTAAAATGTTTTTTTTCCAACCTAGATATCTGCTTAGTCCCATAGTTTTCCAGTCCTACCATGCTAATGACAATCTAAGACAACTAATTTTGCATTTAGTTACTACCATCTGTCTATACAAACCAATAGCTGGTTCTGCTAGCATCTAGGAAGCCTTTCTGTCTCTTTAACAGTGCTTCAAGTCTCTACTACTTTATGTTTTTCGTATACTGCTCCAAAAATTCAGTGAACGCTCAAATAACACATCCTAGATCTGAGTGAATGAGCTGTTCTCGTTGAATACTTTATTCTGTACAAAGTTCAATATGCCGACAACAAAATCATGCAAAAATCATCAATGGAAATCAAACTTATTAACCAATGGAGGCCTGGATTTTGAGTCACACACAAAATTTTATTGAAAAAAAAGCTCTAAATGCTGATCCAACTTTGATGTAATGTCCTTAAAAAGACATACGTGACAAGAAAACGGCACCAGTGGCGTATTTGCCAATCCTGGTGATCTCTGGCAAATGCCAAGCATCCTGCACGGTGTTGAGCTCTGAGCAGCATCTGCATCTGTGGAAGTTGTGCACCCATACCATCCTCATGGAGTGGGTTTCTAACCGTTGGTGCATAAACATGCACATTTGTGGCCTGCTGGAGGTCATTTTGCAGGGCTCTGGCAGTGCTCCTCCTGTTCCTCCTCGTATAAAGCAAAGGTAGTGATCCTACGGCCTCCTCCACATTTCCTGGTTTATTGGCCTGTCTCCTGGTAGTGCCTTCAGCCTCTGGACTCAATGCTCACAGAAACAGCAAACCTTCTTGACACGGCATGCGTTGATGTGCCATCCTGGATTAACTGAAATTCCTTAGCGACTTGCGTTGGTTGTAGAGTTAGTGTCACACTACCAGGAGTCATAAAGCGAAGATACTGAGAAGTGGTCTGTGGTCCCCACCTTCAGAACCACTTCTTTATTAAGTATATCTTGCTAATTGCCAACCATTTCCATCTGTTGTCTTTTCCATCTCCACAAAAACGTGAATTCGATTTTCAATCAGTGTTGCTTCCTAAGTAGTCAGCTTGATTTCTCAGAAGTTTGATTTTATTGAAGTCTTATTGTGTTGTTTACGTGTTCCCTTTGTTTTTTTAGCAATGTATTATTGTCTGATTTTAAACAGATTGTAGCAGGCCTCAATGCTATAGTGATATCCTAGGAATTGATTATCTTTCTTAAATCTTAAGACACCACAAGGCCAAGAAGGAGCTATGAAGTCGATGGACAAGACTACCTGTTTGTGATGTCCAAAGAGCAGATGGAGAGGGACATCAAAGATCAAAAATTCATTGAGGCTGGACAATACCATGATAATCTTTATGGAACAAGTTTCCAGTCTGTAAAATATGTGGCCGAAAGGGTAAGAATCTAAGCAATTTAATCAACTTTACCTTAGCTGCCCAACACAGAAGCAGAAATGTTCAAATAAATCTAAGAACACGTAATGTTTCTAATCTTTTCTCAGTTTCTCTGGTTCCTATTTTGTGCTGTCAGCAAAAAATGAAAAAAGTCATTACAATTAAAGATAAACTTCTTGTTTGTGAATCATTTTAATAATTATCTCTTTTCAGGGCAAACACTGTGTTCTTGATGTTTCTGGAAATGCAATTAAACGACTACAAATTGCACAAATACATCCAATAGCTATCCTGATAAAACCCAAGTCTCCCGGTTCACTAATGTGAGTATATCACTGGACACACTGGTTACATCTCAGTCTCATATCTTTATGAAACAAAGCTTTCAAAGCGTTCCCATCCACTGCTAATACAAGATATAACTTATATATTTATAAATATTATATCCATCCATCCATCTTTGCCCGCTTATTCCTGGTTAGCGTCGCGGTGGGGCCTGTGCCCATTTCCAGCAGTCAAGAGGCAGAGTACACCCTGGACAGGTCGCCAGTCTGTGGCAGGGCAACACAGCGACACACAACCATGCACACATGCACACACTCGGACGTTAAGACAATTTAGAGAAGACAATTAACCTAACAGTTTTTGGACTGTGGGAGGAAGCTAGAGTACCTGGAGAGAACCCACACATGCACGGGTAGAACCTGCAAATTCCATGCAGACAGATTCCAGGCAAGGAATCGAACCCAGAAACATTTTGCTGCAAAGATAACAATGCTACCGACTGCACCACCATGCTGCTCTATTATATCAACATTGATATCTTAATCTATTTCTACATCTGATATTAAAATTGATCACATACTTCTATCTATGTGTTAAATCTAAATATTAAGACTTTTTATTAGGGCCATATTGGGGCTTTTAGCCGTACCATCATGAGGGTAAAGTCCTAATATCATGAAATAGAAAAGCTTTTGTTATAGGACTAAAACTTTGGTAGAGTTATTAACTGAGCTCACCCAGACTGCAGCCTGAGTGGAGCATTTAAACACTGTTTTCTTGAAGAGTTTACATTAGTGTAGACTTCTTCCTCATCTCATAATATGGCATTGCTCTCGTGCTCTACTTTATTCCCGCGATGCTATGACTTCATTGTGTTAACATTACAATTTTTTTACCCCGGTGGACAAGAGGGTTTGCATGGCTTTCTCCTCTGGGTTCTTCAGCCGAACATCAGTGCGGAGTCCCAGGGAATTTCATCATACGTCATAGTGACTTTGTTTCCAAGTTTGAAGACATTTCTCTTCCATCCAGGAAGCTTTTTCAGTTCAAAATGTCAGAAATAGCGTTGAGTTCCAGGTTTTATACAGCAGCCCAACAAAGCCTGGTTTTTGTTTTGAAAACATGCAAATTGAAACGGATGAACAGGTCCACCCCTTTGGAATGGGGTTTGACTTCTTGCATCCACTCCCTTCATTGCAAGCTAACACAAAAAAATGCATTTGAAAGTCATTTTATCTACTGTACCACTGAGTGTGTCTGTTTTTAAGTCCTGAATCATTTTGACCCTGGGATAGTTTCCCTGCCAACGACCCCTGCCTCATACTCTAAGGCAGATTTACCCAGACTCCAGACCCATTGTTCCTGAACAATATAATTTGTGTAACAACACTGAATAAACTGAAAAACTAACATTTTATCTTAAATTGTATACTTCTGCGCAGGAACATGAATAAGATGCTGTCAGAGGAGCAAGCAAAGAAAAGCTTTGACAGGGCTCTGAAACTGGAGAGGGAGTTTGGAGAACTCTTCACAGGTAAGTTTTTATTAGTAATATGAATTAAAAAAAAACATAAAACAGACCTAAACCTTATTGTAAAACATGGGAAAACACATTAAAATTCAAAAATGTATGTGTAAAAGAAAGCTTTTAGAAATTAAAGAAAATAACTGCATGATCTCTGAACCTTATCTAAGCTCATTGCTACAGCATCTTGGATCAAAGTACACATATCTCTATAAATTATCAACACTTTATTTACAGTCTCTACCTTCCATCATTTAAGATATTTTCGTTTGGTGATCTGTTTTCATGTGTAGCCATGTTAAATGCCAGCAGTAAACACCTCAGAAGGACGCAAATTCAACCCATTCCATTACTTGAAGGTGTCCAATAGGTTAGAATCTCTTGGACAAATTAAAAGCTGAAGCTGCAATGGCTCGATTCCTCATGCCTGCCAGGATGTCCTGAGACTCTCAGCTCGTAAGCTCATTCATAAAGTAACATGCTTAGTGCAAAATGCAGCATTTGTAAAATTGGGTAATTAAGCCATTTATAGCATATTTCATACGGAAAATTAAAGAATAAACAGTTTCTGTCTTTCTGCACTGCATATATTTTATATATTTCCTCTGGCGAATATATATGGAAATAATACAAAGTAATAGGATCTAAAAAAAAGATAATTGTTGTCCCTTTCCTGAGTCTTTGTTTCTTAATTTCAATTCCATTCAGTCTTCTGTCCAGGAAGCACACAGCCAGGCAGACGAGCTCCGAGCTAGCTCCCATGTCAGAGGATGAAAGAGAGCACATCCAGTTAGTCACAGTCAGAGAAACAGGCCTACACTGGAAAACAGGCCAAGCTCCAATTGTCATGAAACGAGGACAGAGGGACCCAGTATTCAGGAGAGACAGTCAGTAGGAAAGTTCAAAAGTTTATTACACGAAACAAAACAAAACGGAGCTGTGGCTCGCGGACACTGCAGGCGGGGGGGCGGGGCACCGCCCAGTCTCAGACACTCTGGTTTAACAGTCCAGACCACGAGTGTCCCCAGTGCTGCAGTCCCAGAGGTGATGGAGGAAGCTGATCCTGGTGAGGGATCCAGAACAGACAGAAACAGGCAGGATCCAGATCAGGCAGGAACAGAGACAGGTGGCAGGATCCAGACTTCCAGGCATCCACAGGCTTCCAGGAGGGTTCAGAGTCCGACTGGGACCAGAAGCATGACCAGGTGGTCACGCACAGGAGCAGACAGGATCAGGTGCAGATGAGCAGGCTCAGTGGAAGAGGGTAGCCGAGACAGGACGTAGGAACCGGAACTTGAAGCTGGACTTTAAACTGGTCTCCACCCTGGAGCCAGGCTTACTTTGATAAAAACTGAACCTCCCCCCATAATGAGCCAAAAACCCAGAGGACTCCGCGGGGGAGGAACAGTGGACGATCAGGAGACGAGACAAACACTAAAACCCTCTTTCCACTGGCAGCTAGGATCCAGGACATGAACCAAATAAAAACTGAACAGAAAGACTGACAGAGAGCCAAGCAATGATCTGGCACTGAATGCTCAGGCTGAACTGAATATAAACCAGAGGAAACAGGTGAGAGGGATAAATTATAATTGAGGCTGGGAAGGAAGAGGCCAGGTGAGAGGAATTACTAATTAGGGGAGAGCAAACAGGCCAGATCATGACACCAATATCTGTTTTTACAGTGTTTAAAGAGGCAGCCCGGGTCTGGTACAATTACTCCTTTGTTATAAAAACATCTTGCTCAAGACTGTGTAAATGATCAATCAGCTCTAAGATGGCTTCAAAAATATTCAGGCTAAAAACAAATTACAAAGATGCACTCCAAAGAGAAGGCGACTAGTTTTCTGACCATTTTCTCATGTTTGGTAGTCATTGAAAACGTAACCAGGGAATTTGACATCCACCGCTTTTCCATAGGCTGATCTCAGCCCGATTTTGATATCAGTCAGCGAAGGGACTGCTGGTCATTGTTCGGTCATCAGCGTGGTCGGACAAATGTTGGCAGGAATTGGATGCAGATATGAGAAGGAGTTTACCAGGGTAATGGAGGGAACAACAAGCCATACACCACATTGCAGGGGCTTTTTAAAATGTCCTGACACTGAATGGAAAAGAGGTTGATGATTCTGCCCTCACTGCTGCACCCTCCTCTCATGGTGTATGGGAAGGGCAAATGTTAGAACTCTGATAATCCTGCATCATTTTATATCTTTTCTGTTTGCTTTCAGCTCTGGTTCAGGGAGACACCTTCGATGATATTTATCACCAGTGTAAACAAGTCATTGAGGAACACTCCGGACCCTACATTTGGATCCCATCAAAGGAGAAATTAAAATGACTCTTAATGCTAGAAGGCAAATGTGAAACTATGTTGAGAAAAAAAGTTCTCTTTCATTTGCTGTTACACTTAATTTATTCGTTTTGTTTTCCTACTTCACTTATTCCCACCGAATTGAACTAAAATTGTTTATTTTATTTTACTTTTTTATGTTTTTGAATTTTTAAAATGTATAAAAACGTAGAAGCTAGATTAGCAAGATGAGATGTACTTACATCAGTGAGTGGAATTCCAGACAGATAGTAACTGTAAAACCAAACTATCTTCACGTTCCCACTTTCAAATAAAAAGACTGTCTTATCTCTTCTCATAAATTCATACTTTGTTATTTTGTTGGAATGCTTATGTTCATATTAAAATAAAAGGATGTATCTTGTTAAAATTAGCTATTTTTTTATTTTTTATTTATCTATTTTTTTTTTAAGAAGAAGAAGACATAACTTAATCCTCAACAAAACATGTTTGTTACTCTGTTGGGGATATACTTTATGACGACTGCTTTACTCCCCTCACCACGCCAAACGCTTGATCTGGTGCCAATTTGAGGGCATTCAATTCTGGAAGGATTTGGTAAAAATAAATAGGAAAATACACTGAACACTGTAAGCAGGAAATCAGAATCAAAATCAACTTTAATGGCCAAGTTTTCTTGCACAGTTTTTTTTACATTTTTATATAAAAGAGGAAGGCTGCAGGTCTTTGTTGTTCTTGTGGAGTCTGACTACGCTGGCTAACAGATGTTCTCTGACTTCAACAGAGAGACAGGAAGGAAGAAAGAAACTGTCTTTGGATGTATTTCATTTCAGCGACTGTATCCTCCAAAGACCTGGACCAGGTGGCCCTGGTCCTTGGAGGACATATATACCAGGTATATATACATACCTGGTATATATACACTCACCGGCCACTTTATTAGGTACACCTGTCCAACTGCTCGTTATCACTTAATTTCTAAGCAGCCAATCCCATAGCGGCAACTCAGTGCATTTATGCATGTAGACATGGTCAAGACAATCTCCTGCAGTTCAAAGCGAGCATCAGTATGGGGAAGAAAGGTGATTTGAGTGACTTTGAACGTGGCATGATTGTTGGTGCCAGAAGGGCTGGTCTGAGTATTTCAGAAACTGCTGATCTACTGGGATTTTCACGCACAACCATCTCTAGGGTTTACAGAGAATGGTCAGAAAAAGAAAAAACATCCAGTGAGCGGCAGTTCTGTTGGCGGAAATGCCTTGTTGATGCCAGTGGTCAGAGGAGAATGGCCAGACTGGTTCGAGCTGATAGAAGGGCAACAGTGACTCAAATAACCACCCGTTACAACCAAGGTGGGCAGAAGAGCATCTCTGAACGCACAGTACGTCGAACTTTGAGGCAGATGGGCTACAGCAGCAGAAGACCACACCGGGTGCCACTCCTTTCAGCTAAGAACAGGAAACTGAGGCTACAATTTGCACAAGCTCATGGAAATTGGACAATAGAAGATTGGAAAAACGTTGCCTGGTCTGATGAGTCTCGATTTCTGCTGCGACATTCGGATGGTAGGGTCAGAATTTGGCGTCTACAACATGAAAGCATGGATCCATCCTGCCTTGTATCAATGGTTCAGGCTGGTGGTGGTGGTGTCATGGTGTGGGGAATATTTTCTTGGCACCATTTGGGCCCCTTGGTACCAATTGAGCATCGTTGCAACGCCACAGCTTACCTGAGTATTGTTGCTGACCATGTCCATCCCTTTATGACCACAATGTACCCAACTTCTGATGGCTACGATAATGCGCCATGTCATAAAGCTGGAATCATCTCAGACTGGTTTCTTGAACATGACAATGAGTTCACTGTACTCAAATGGCCTCCACAGTCACCAGATCTCAATCCAATAGAGCATCTTTGGGATGTGGTGGAACGGGAGATTCGCATCATGGATGTGCAGCCGACAAATCTGCGGCAACTGTGTGATGCCATCATGTCAATATGGACCAAACTCCCTGAGGAATGCTTCCAGCACCTTGTTGAATCTATGCCACCAAGAATTGTGGCAGTTCTGACGGCAAAAGGGGGTCCAACCCGTTACTAGCATGGGGTACCTAATAAAGTGGCCGGTGAGTGTATGTCGTGAATGTATATTCAATGCTCATCCAGGTTGGGCACCATATTACTGTTGTGAATAACTGTTATATTAAATTCCCAACCAGCTGGGAATTCATATGTTCTGATACTTTAAGATGATTATTGCCCTCCCCGGAAGGAGTGGTAAATATATTATTTAATCAGATATTATTTCGGCTGTTATATATTGTTTATGAACACACGCTCTACTAGCTGTGTGTTAGAACAATAAATGAAGTTGTGAGTCGAGCTCTAAACATGGTCAAACAGTTAATTCTGCACATACATGGAATAAATTCACCACAACCTCTGTCCAAAATATAAGAGTTTATTAACAAAAATGTTCAGCTCCAAGTGTAATATATATTTCAGTCTAAAACTCTTAACTGAAACTAGTGAAACTCAACTAAACTTAACTACTACAGGTGCTGGTCATAAAATTAGAATATCATGAAAAAGTAGATTGATTTCAGTAATTCCATTTAAAAAGTGAAACTTGTATATTATATTCATACATTACATACAAACTCATATATTTCAGATGTTTATTTTGTTTAATTTTGATGATTACAAATGACAACAAATGAAAATCTCAAATTCATCATATCAGAAAATTAGAATATTACTGAAGACCAATAAAAACAAAGGATTTATAGAAATGTTGGCCAACTGAAAAGTATGAACATGAAAAGTATGAGCATGTACAGCACTCAGTATTTAGTTGGGCCTCCTTTGGCCTGTGTTACTGCAGCAATGCGGCGTGGCATGGAGTCGATCAGTCTGTGGCACTGCTCAGGTGTTATGATAGCCCAGGTTGCTCTAATAGTGGCTTTTAGCTCTTCTGAATTGTTGGGTCTGGTGTATTGCATCTTCTTCTTCAGAATACCCCACAGATTTTCTATGGGGTTAAGGTCAGGAGAGTTTGCTGGCCAATTAAGAACAGGGATACCATGGTCCTTCAACCAGGTACTGGTAGCTTTGGCACTGTGTGCAGGTGCCAAGTCCTGTTGGAAAATGAAATCTGCATCTCCAAAAAGTTGGTCAGCTGCAGGAAGCATGAAGTGCTCTAAAACTTCCTGGTATGTGGCTGCGTTGACCCTGGACCTCAGAAAACACAATGGACCAACACCAGCAGATGACATGGCACCCCAAACCATCACTGACTGTGGAAACTTTACACTGGACTTCAAGCAACGTGGATGAAGTGCCTCTCTTCTTTTCCTCCAGACTCTGGGACCTTGATTTCCAAAGGAAATGCAAAATTTACTTTCATCAGAGAACATGACTTTGGACCACTCACCAGCAGTCCAGTCCTGTTTCTCTTTAGCCCAGGCAAGACGCTTCTGACGCTGTCTGTGGTTCAAGAGTGGCTTGACACAAGGAATGCGACAGCAGAAACCCATGTCTTTCATACGTCTGTGTGTGGTGGTTCTTGAAGCACTCACTCCAGCTGCAGTCCACTCTTTGTGAATCTCCCCCACATTTTTGAATGGGTTTTGTTTCACAATCCTCTCCAGGGTGCGGTTATCTCTCTTGCTTGTACACTTTTTTCGACCACATCTTTTCCTTCCCTTCGCCTCTCTATTAATGTGCTTGGACACTGAGCTCTGTGAACAGCCAGCCTCTTTAGCGATGACCTTTTGTGTCTTGCCCTCCTTGTGCAAGGTGTCGATGGTCGTCTTTTGGACAACTGTCAAGTCAGCAGTCTTCCCCATGATTGTGTAGCCTATAGAACTAGACTGAAAGACCATTTAAAGGCTTTTGCAGGTGGTTTGAGTTAATTAGCTGATTAGAGTGTGGCACCAGGGGCCATCAATTTTGAACCTTTTCACAATATTCTAATTTTCTGATATGATGAATTTGAGATTTTCATTTGTTGTCATTTGTAATCATCAAAATTAAACAAAATAAACATCTGAAATATATGAGTTTGTATGTAATGTATGAATATAATATACAAGTTTCACTTTTTAAATGGAATTACTGAAATCAATCTACTTTTTCATGATATTCTAATTTTATGACCAGCACCTGTATATACAACAGCTCAAAACACATTACTGTAGCATTGTCACAATTTTATCAAGAGCTCGGACCCACATGCATGGAGACCAATTTATTTAGGAGTTTGTGAAGAATCCAGTGTTGCTCTGTACACTGCTCAACCGGAACTGAAAGTTGAGGGGAAGACATTGCGGTTAGTTCAGGCTCAGTAGGAAATTTGATTCTCGAACTTGAAGAGGAGAAATCTAGCCTCGTGAGACCATCCTGATCTCACGAGCTTTCAAGGTTTCACTCGCAGATCAGTCTGGAGACTCTCCGTTAAAGAAAATTTGGAGCCGTTCACCAAACGAACGTCCAATCAGCGTTGGCTTTGAGGCGGGTTGAGGTGTGACGCAATGAGAAGCGTGACCATTCAGTCTAAAGAACATGGCGGCTTCAGCCGATGAAACTAGCGTTAGCGTGGCTATCGAGCAAAACACTGCTCTGGAGGCTTTTCTCAGAGGAAAAGATGTTTTTGCTCTTCTCCCGACTGGTTTCGGCAAGAGTAGCCTGGCTTGTGGTTGTGTTTTCGTCGTCGCTCTGTTAGTACGTCATATGCTTTGTTGATCTAATCGGTTTATTTGGCCCGTCTATCACCAACATACACTGCATGAAAAGTGGGATTTTCGTCAATATGCGGCACTGTAGATTGTCGTGGAACTTCAGGTTAGCGGCAGTTTACGACAATTTGCAGGCTTCGCCGAAAACTCCCGTAAATTGTCAGAAATTGACGTGGACTCTCTTAGGCAGTGTTCCCCCCATGCCTCCCCCCCATGGAATTCTAGGGGAGGCTTTAACATGTAAATGAACATGCTGTGAGCTATACAAATGCAAACCAGGGTTGCAGGGGGGGTTTTACCCCAAGTGACATCTTTCTGGGTAAGAAATTCTCTGATACAAAGAGATCAGGCTTAGTATAGCCTCTTCCATTTTAGCTTGAATTGATTTATTTAATTAAAGTATAGAGACCAAAACAGATCTTTAGCTGACAGAGCAATACATTTAGAGCAGTAATTATATAAAAAAAAATTGCATTTAAGATAAAAAATAAAATGTTGTCTGTCAATATGCTCAATTCACAATTACTTAAGTGGAAAAGTTTCAAGAAATGAGTCTGAGATGATTTACTTTATAACATGGCGCATTATCCTGTTGGAAGTAGCCATGAGAAG